CAAAAAGGAAAAGTAAAAGGTTAGCAAGAAATAAAAGTTTATATACCCTTGCAAAATCAATTATAACTAAGCCAAAAATGTATTAATATCAATTTGGAAAGGATACCAGAATACTGCCAATTTTAGGGATAAATCAAAGTTTTTCAAGCACCATAACTAAGCCAAAAATGCATTAATTTCGAATCGGAAAGCTTTTCTGTGCTAGTTTTTATTAGTTTAATAAATCTGCATACTCAATTTAAAAATGATACAGAATTTAAATTGTTGGCAATTTTTTACAATTTTAATGATGTAACCCCTTATAAAATTATGAAAAAATTGAACAAAAAAATATTTTCTTCCAAACACGTCCAGATTGACTCGGCTGTTGATTCTGATCAAGAATATATATGATTTATAGTGTCGGAAATGGCTCCTTCATCAAGAAAAACAAAAATATGTCCATTATGGGGACTTTAAATAAATATTTTAGTATGATAATTTTATTGGGAAATTCACACTTTTCCAAATGTCATACCTAAGTCAAAAAAGCATTAATTTCAAATCGGAAAGCATTTCTTTGCTTGTTTTAATTAGGTTAACAAATCTGTATACCAAGCTTTCAAATATTAAAAACTACATTTTTTGTCAAATTTTGTCAATTTTAACGATGTAACCCCTTATAAAAATTTCAAATTATGAAAAAATTTTGAAAATTTATTTTTTGACCAGACATGTCTAAATCAACTCAGTTTTTTATGCTGATCAATTATATATATTATATATAGGGTCGGAAATGAGTCCTTCACTGCGATTCAAGCTTCTAACTATAATTACAACACCCTAAAAAGGTATACAAAAAAAATGGAACTGTGGGAAAGTGAAAATGTCCTTAAGACCTTTGTTTAATGACAGTGATTTTCCTGGTTAATTACCCTTATTAATTTCTCACATTTTTAATCGTTTGCAAAGACCTTTTATTCTCTAATTGAATTATAAAGCTTTAATTTATTTCCTTGGCTAAACAAATTAAAATTTACTTGTTAAAATAAAACGCATACTTTATCTTTAATTTCCCCCATTAAAATTAAAATAAATACAAAGTTCTTGGTTATCGAGCGTGGTTCCGCCAGGAATTAAGCACCTTGACTTAACAAACTTTTCAGACTTAATTCAAAAGAGTATCCGCCAAAGGAAGTTTAGCTTCCAATTTGGACTCTTCTTTAACTAATTTGCTTTCCATTTTTCATATGTCTGTGCCATTTGGATTTTTCCTTACATTTTCTGAGCTGTTATCATTAATTTAAATTTTATTTTATTTTCACGCCCGCGACAAACAGAACCTAAATGCCACCAATTTGCATAATTCAACATTCGCGCCTCAAAGTCCTTAATTTCCTCTTGTTTTTTCTCTGCTCCTTTCCAAGCGCGCTTTTCCGCCTAGTTTGTTGACATTTCTTTGATGGGCGTAGCAGCTCTCTAGCAGCTTCATTATTCAGCAACAGCTGGTGGACAGGAGGGATTACCAGGAGGAGGCAGAGAGGCCGTGACTCCTCCATGACACATAAATTTGACTGACTGACGGACACGCCGCACTTATGCCCCAATCCATCCTGGAACAAAAAAAAAATAACCCCTGGAACCTCCATCCCCCCGTCGACATCAGCGCATATATCATTTTCATTTTGTAATTTGTCTCTCACCCTTGGAGCTTGGAGCAGTTTTGGCCCCTGCTTTCGGCATTTCGCCCCAGTCACGGGCCATTTTGTGCACAATGGCCCCCAGTTAATTGGTTGGGTGTTGCCGTGGGTGTTGCCACCTCTACACCCGGACTAGGATCCTGGCCTGGCCTGGCGAAGGCGCCTCCATATTAAATTACATGACAGCTAACATGAGGTGCTAACTTCCCTGCGTCGAGCTCATTAAATGTGTAAAATAAATGGGCAATGGTGGGGGGCAGGCAGGGGAGGTTTTGCCCTGTCCTCTGTGGGGTGAAAAATGCGGAAAATTCAATTCCGCATATGCAGTTTTAATCATTTTTCCTGCGATTCATTTTCAGCTTGTTGATTTTTACGAGGGAGGGAAGCGATTAAACCACAAAACAAAGTAATTATTTCACATGACAGATTGATGTAATTATGGAAATTTTGCATACTAATTTGAAATGTATTAGAGCAAATTAATATAAATAAGGGTAAGTATGTGTTCTGATAAAGATTTATGGGTGATGGAATTATCTAAAGATCCTGATTTAAATTTCCCAAGAATCCTATTCAGGTCCAATGTGTAGTACTTCTACCTTATAGTGTTGAGTTAATCCTTACCATAATTATATAACTCGTAGATTTACTTAATTAATTACAAATACCCTTCTCAAACCCCAAATCCAGTCATCTATTTCTGCTTTAAAAGCTTATAATTGTTATGTTAGTAAGCCAAGTTGGGAAAACATTAATCTCGGAAACCCTCAGCTCTGCCTTCCGGCGAATCCTCAAATCCCAATTTCCTTAAAACACCAAACAATAAATTAACTCAAGCCAAAGACTAAGACATCGCACACTTTTCATAATAGAAAAGCGGAAAAGTCGCCGGGCATTTAATTAATTCAGAGCGTGCGCGCTATCAGAAATGCTCCTCCCCAGAGCAGCTCCCGGCGATAGTTCGTCCGACTTTTCTTGTATCACTTGTCTGTTTCACTTTCAGTTACTTAATTAATGAGATGTACTACTGCTACTGCCACTGCTGCACTCTCACGAACACAAAAATATTCATAAACTTTAGCATTTCGCAGGCAAAAAGGCAAAAGGGATACAAGTAAAAAGGGGAAATAGGTAAAACCATTTAAAATTCAACATTTGTGCAATGCGGGAATTCGCGGTTTCGTGTTACGCACAACCTAATAATGCTAATTGCATATCGGACTGGCTTTCCAACTTGGCTAAATGGCTGAAATGGCATTGCACTCGGCGAATTGGTCGAGGGAAAATATGCCAAGCCTGGGGGTAGGTGCATTTAGTCATGAGTAAATAAGAAAATAAAATGAAATACTTATGGGAAATTGCTTGGAAAAACCATTGAAAAGTTTATTTGAAATATAGTTCGTTATTTAAAGTATGGGAGCTTTTACTACGATTTGATTCTTTAAAAATCCCATTAAGGAAAACAAAAATCCTTCCTTCTCTCCAACTATGAAACGGAGAAAGAAAACCATATTTTTTCCCCCTAGGAACATAGGCAATTAAATCATTTGCCATTTGCAGATACGAAGCCATCATGCAAATAACTTTTCCTGCAAAAGATTTGAATCGAAAGCGAACAACAGGACTCTGTCCGTGTCCGGTTATCCTGCCAACAAAACTCGGGCCAAACTCAGGGAAAGTGAGAAAGTGGGTGGGCACAAGGACACTTGAAAAGTTCCACATCATTACTCGGGTGTTTTGTGGTGATTGGCTTTTGTATGATCCCGGCAAACAAGAACTGAGGACAACTCGAGATGAGGAGTGACAGTTTCGACCCCTCCGATTCGCAGGCACTTGAAGTGTCGGGCAAACAGAATCATTTGCCGACGTGCTCTGTTTAGTTAAGCGAAAGTTTTCCAACTAAAACAAAAGAAGGGAAACTACAACTACAATATCTATCCAACATTTCAATTTAAGTTTCCGTTTGGTTCACGTTTCTCTCCCGGGATACCGCGAGAAACACTGTGTGACTGTGCGGGTCTTGGTTAGGGTTCCATTTCCACCTAATTAGGTGCAATTGGTTGCTCCTCAACTTTCCAGCTCCGACTGTGACGCAAACCCCCAACGCTGCACACCCGGCGTATGCGCATTATAAAAATTTATGACTCATAGAAATTAAACGACTGTCATTCGTATGTATTAGCCGGCGAAATTAGTTTGTCTTAGCAGATTCTAGATCCTGGCAGGAATGGGTGGCTTACACTCCCCTTTGTGGGTGCGGTTTCCGAACAAAAAGCGGAAAATAAATGCGGAAATGAGATGCATATCAATTCGGCGGCAGCATAAATCAAAGGTAACCCAAATACATAAATATCGCGTAATAAACATGTTTATGGGGGTGAACTTTTAATGGGGATGAAAGGCCTTATCTAAAAGAGGAATTTCCCTCGATTTGTTCACTTCTTTATGTCTCCCTTTAATCCGTTTATATTTAGTACTTTTTTCTATCCTCTAAATAATGCAGAAAACATGAAATTTTTCCCGATAAACAGCCAATAATAAAGGTTTAAGGATTTGGGTACTTTTTTGCAGCCTCTAAATTATGTGAAAAACTTTACTTTCTTTTTCATGTTTTGCCTGCAAAGTTTATCTAATATAAAGTTCAAAATTATATCTCTTAAATTCATTTTCATTTCGAATTTTTAGGCTCCTCTAAGCAAATTTACATAAACTTTTCGTCGATAAGAAGTCAATAAATCCAAAAGTTAAAATGTATTTATTTTCCCGCGGCTTTTTCGCTATTTATTTGTGCAAGTTTTGCCAACGAAAACTTGGCAAGGTGAAGCCAAAAGCTATTGTTAAATTTTGTAGACACCTTAAATCAATCCGATCCATACGAGTTTTTGCTACACATGTATATATCCATCGCAAATCGGGCATTCAGGCCTTTGTTTATGGGTGCCAGGCCTCGTCATCGACATCGTTTTTGTTTAATGCTGTCGCGCCTGTTAATTGTAAACAAACTTCTCGATGGACTTGATATTTGGATGGACTCGATGTTTGGATGGATATGGATGGATCGTGTCCAGCAGCACGCCCCGGTTTTATATTTAGATTGCGGGGGCAGCTATTAGGCTGTATATTTTCCATAAGCCCCTAAGAGATACCTTCCCCCCATCGTTCAGCTTATGTTAATGGCACATTTAAGCCCGGCCAGATAGCTCCTCCTTCGGTTGCCAAAAGCTAATAAATGGCACGCGCATCCGATGCACTTTTGGGGGCTTCCTCTTCCTCTTCCATTTTCATTTCCATTTCCCCCCATCCCCATCCCTGCATATTTACCGTATTTCTGTATCGGTCCTCGGTGCTGGTATAGTTTTTCTTGTGTTTTCATTAACTTGAAGTTTTTCCAGCTAGTGGCTAAGTGTGTGCAGCATGAAAAGGGTGCTACCCCGAAATCCCCGAATAAAACATGAGCTTGGAATTCCTCTGGTTTCGACTCGAAACCGTAATATATTCCTGCAGATAAATTGAAATGAAATATATGCAGCGTGAATGGTAGGAACATAAAACCGGAAACCTGATAGGAATGACTTCCGTCATTATCCTTCAAATGCTGGGATACTTAGCCACAAAGATATAGTTTTAAGTGTCTATAGAAATTACGTAATCCGCGATGGAATTCAATATACAATCAACAGGAAATCCATCAACATGCAAACATGCAAAAACTGCATTAAAATGGAAATTTCGAATCCGAGGGTTGCCTCGTTTTCAAAATGGCCAGGATTTATGGAGTCAGGCCAGAAACAAAGGCAGCAATAGCAAAATATAGCGGAAAGCGGAAGCAAAATAAACAGCACAACAGCAAAGCGGAAACAGAAACAGAACCACCAGAACGAGAATTTGGATGCAAAATGCATATAAAGGCTTTGGTCCCACGCACGATTTACGATGGGCCGTTTAGGGCCCGGAAAACTACATTTTTCACGGGGCCAAGCTCAGATTCAAAATGTCGATAGGTGGAGATGGGAAATTTATTGAGCTGACACCATCAATTGTTCAGGATAATGTGCACACTCGAATGTCAGGATGCCGGGGTGTCAGAGAGCCAGCAGAAGGCGATTACGGGAGATTAAGTGATCAATTTTTAATTTGCCATTTCCGACACCACAAACAAACAGATTTGCATCAATCTGCAATTATTATTTATTATGCTTACATTTACGTTTAAGTGTTTTTATGTGTTTCCGTGATTGGAAGCGATGCCAGGCCCCCTCAGAGATGGGACTTAAACAGGATACGCCAGCGCCAGCGCCAAACGAGAGGAGCACATGAACATGAACATGAACACTTCGCCCTAATTTTGTTTACACACACACAGCACACGCGGGAAGAATTTAAATGAATTTATTGGATTCTTTTTAGCAGGCGAAAGCACTTGAAACGCTATAGCCGGATATTGGCATCAACACACCGCACCAAACATCCGAAAATTTCGTTTTTGAACTTGAACTGTCCGTCCGACCGGAGAGAACGCATGCGACTTGTTGGCGCGCGCGAAATCGTTTGCCGTTTGGTTTTTGTTTTGGCCCGGCCAAGAAGCCCGCAATTGATCCGAAGCAGTGTTGCCAGTTTAGCTTACATCTATGTATGTATATTGGTAACTGAAAAAGGATATATTTGATTTTTACTGGGTGTTACTGTTTCCTTAATATATTTCTTTAAATTTATCGATTCGTATAGATTAATGAAGGATTTAATTTAAAATATTAAGCTAAACAATAAGAACATTGTTTACCTATTATTATTATTATGCACAAGTGGTAATGGAATATAAGAATAATATTAAAAGAAATTTCTATTGATGTTGATCTAAAAACTAATCATGTTTTATATATCCTTTTAGGGTAGTAGAAGCTTGCAACGAAGCGAAGGAATTATTTCCGACCCTATATATCATATATATTATTGATTAGATTTAAACGGCGAGTCGATTTAGCAATACTTAAAAAAAAAAATATTTTTTGTTAATTTTTTAAAAAAATATAGGGGTTATCGTTAAAATTTTCAAAAACAATTGAAAAATTTTAGATTTTAAACTGAGTATGCAAATTTGTTAGCATAACAAAAACCAGCATAGGGAAGCTTTCCGAATTAAAATTAATACATTTTTGGCTTAGTTATAGATTTTGAAAAAGTGTGATTTTCTAAAAAAAATTATTATATTTAAATATTGATTTAAAGTCTCCATAATGGACATATTTTTAGGTTTCTTGATTAAGGAGCCATTTCCGACCTTATAAAGCATATATATTCTTGATCAGAATCAAAAGCCGGGTCGATCTATATGTGTTTGAAAGAAAATAATTTTTTTTAATTTTTTTTAAACTTTATAATTTTTTTTACATCATCAAAATTGTCAAAATTAAAAAAAAAATTTAATTTTAAAACTGATTATGCAGATATGTTAACCTTTTAAAAACTTACACAGAAAAGCTTTCCGAATGAAAACTAATGTATTTGGAGTAGTTATGATCGATTAAAGTTTGAATTTATTCAAACTTCATCCTCTCGTAGTTAGCTTTCTTTGCTTTTATTTACATTTTTATTTGACCAGCAATGTCTGCTAGTTTTTTTTTTAATTTGTGCATTTTAAAGTTAAAATGAATTAAGAAAATAATAATGTATACCCTAGTTTTTAGCTTGTTTTATAGCTCAGAATCTAGCCTATACGGTTGGTCAAAACCTGGCAGCACTGATCCGGAGATTGAATGGGGCGCCAAAATGCCGGTAAATAGGGGCGCATGTGCCGCAGCATGTTGCAGGGCGAAATGTTGCAGCCAATGTTTGTCGGTCTGGCAACGCCAAGTGGTGGAACGACCAACATTGCCAGGGTTTTCGGTCTCAAGCGTTTTGGGTGCCATCGATATTTTACAACGTCTGGTCACTCTTTTTGATGTCTTGTGCATTCGACAGCGTTTAGTTTTGCTGTAAAAATAGTAAGTTTTCGTGAAATACTGAGCCCACCCAAGTGAAAACGTCCACAGCGAAGACCGGCGAGCGGATATTTCCAAAGGTCATGGGGGAACCGGCGAGAAACTTGCGAAACTATTTTCGCAAAACGCCATGTTGGCCGAGCGGCCAAACATAACCTCAACCAGGGGCGAGAATTATGTGGCCCGAAACTAATAGATTTTAATTCCAGGTGCAGACAAACGGCCGCGTGGAAAGTCAACCAACATGTCGCGCTTTTTTGCCAACGGGTCCGACTCGGAGTCCGAGTCCAGTGAGGAGGAGGTTCAGGCGACGAACTTCAACAAAGCCAGCGCCTTCGTGAGTATCACCGCCTCATTGCTGTGGAGCATCCGGTGTTAATCCCGCTTTCCCCCCATTAGCAATTCAGCGACGATGAGGAGGAGGTCAAGCGCGTGGTGCGCTCCACCAAGGAGAAGCGCTACGAGAACCTCACCAGCATCATCAAGACCATCCGCAACCATAAGAAGATAAAGGATATCCCGAACACGCTGACCAGCTTCGAGGACCTGACGCGCGCGTATCAAAAGGCGCTGCCCGTCATCTCGAAGGAGGAGAACGGCATCACGCCGCGCTTTTATATCCGCTGCCTCGCCGAGCTGGAGGACTTCATTAACGAGGTGTGGGAGGACCGCGAGGGCAGGAAGAACCTGTCCAAGAACAACTCCAAGTCGCTGGGTACGCTGCGTCAGAAGGTACGCAAGTATATCAAGGATTTTGAGGACGATTTGTCGCGTTTCCGCGAGGCACCCGACCAGGAAAGCGAGGCGGAGGACGAGGTGGCTGCCCTGGACAGCGACGGCGGTGATGCCGGCGACGACAGCGATGTGGGAGTTAAACGCGAGGCTACCGAAGCCGTACCCAAGGCGGCCAAATCGGCGCCAGTCAAGGCGGCGCCCGCCGACGATGATGATTCCGATGATTCCATTGACTGGGACTCGGATTCAGAGAGCGAAACGGAGTCGTCGGACGATGAGAATCAGTACCAGAACATGCGTGAGCGCTTCCTTAAGCGCACCACCGAGAAGGAGGACAAGGACGACGACAAGAGGAAAGATAAGCGCAAGGAGCAGAAGGTCAAGATCCGCAAGCGTGCTGAGGACGATGAGGACGGCGAGTGGGAAACCGTTGTCAAGGGCCATGTTGTGGAGAAGCCCAAGATGTTCGAGAAGGACGCCGAGATCGATGTGCCATTGGTGCTGGCCAAACTGCTGGAGATCATGTCGGCACGCGGCAAGAAGCGGACCGACCGCCGCCTGCAGATCGATCTGCTGTTCGAACTGAGAGACATCTCCGACCAGCACAACCTGGGCACCGCCGTCTCCGTAAAGATCCACTTCAACATCATCTCGGCCATCTTCGACTACAACCAGAAGATCTCCGAGCCCATGAAGCTGGAGCACTGGGCCCTGCTGTTGGAGGTGATGCAGAGCATGATGAAGCTGCTTCTGGCCAATCCGGACATCAATATGAGTGAAAGCGTTGCCGAGGAACACGAGGAGTACTCCGCGGCGCCCTATTTCGTCCGTGGCTGCCCCCTGGCCGCCGTGGAGCGGCTCGACGATGAGTTCACCAAGCTGCTGAAGGAGTGCGATCCCCACTCTAACGACTATGTGTCCCGACTGAAGGACGAGGTGAACGTTGTGAAAACCATCGAGCTGGTGCTGCAGTACTTCGAGCGCTCCGGCACCAACAACGAGCGCTGCCGCATCTATCTGCGCAAGATCGAGCATCTCTACTACAAGTTCGATCCGGAGGTGCTGAAGAAGAAGCGCGGCGAGGTGCCGGCCACGACTCCCACCTCTGTGGAGGTGATGGACAAGCTGTGCAAGTTCATCTACGCCAAGGACGACACGGATCGTATAAGGACGCGGGCCATTCTGGCGCACATCTACCACCATGCCATGCACGACAACTGGTTCCAGGCGCGCGACCTCGTGCTGATGTCGCACCTGCAGGACAACATTGATGCCGCCGATCCTGCCACCCGCATCCTGTACAATCGGATGATGGCCAACCTCGGTCTCTGCGCCTTCCGGCAGGAGAACGTGAAGGACGCGCACCACTGTCTCGTCGATCTAATGGTCACCGGAAAGCCCAAGGAGCTGCTCGCCCAGGGACTGCTGCCCCAGCGCCAGCATGAACGGTCCGCCGAGCAGGAGAAGATCGAAAAGCAGCGTCAGATGCCATTCCACATGCACATCAACCTAGAGCTGCTCGAGTGCGTCTACCTGGTGTCCGCCATGCTGCTAGAGATTCCCTACATTGCCGCCCACGAGTTCGACGCCCGCCGCCGCATGATCAGCAAGACGTTCTACCAGCAACTGCGGTCCTCTGAGCGCCAGTCCCTGGTGGGTCCACCGGAATCGATGCGTGAGCATGTGGTGGCCGCCGCCAAGGCAATGCGCTGCGGCAACTGGCAGGCTTGCGCCAACTTCATTGTCAACAAGAAGATGAATACCAAGGTCTGGGACCTATTCTACGAATCGGACCGAGTGCGTGAGATGTTGACCAAGTTCATCAAGGAGGAGTCGCTGCGCACGTACCTCTTCACCTACTCGAACGTCTACACCTCGATCAGCATACCCTCGCTGGCCCAGATGTACGAGCTGCCCGTGCAGAAGGTGCACTCGATAATCAGCAAGATGATCATCAACGAGGAGCTGATGGCCAGCCTGGACGATCCCAGCGAAACGGTGGTGATGCATCGCTCCGAGCCGTCGCGCCTCCAGGCCCTGGCCATGCAGTTCGTGGACAAGGTCACAAATCTGGTGGATGTCAACGAGAAGGTGTTCGACATGAAGCAGGGCAACTTCTTCCAGCGCGGCAACATGGGCAACCGAGGTGATCGTGGCTACAACCGCAACCAGAACAACCAGGGCGGCAACTGGGCCGGCCAGCGACGGGGGTCGGGCAATCGCAACCGCAACCAGCAGCGTGGCCATCACAAGAACCAACAGCAGCAGCACCAACAGCAACAAGTCCAGACCATCGACGAGGAGTAGACGTTAGAGCGTGCTGAGCCTCCCTCCTTCCCACATAGGCCTACTCTTCCTCGTCTCCACTTAAAAACAGAACAAATTTGTAGCTCTCGGACTATATTAAAATGGAATGGCCATGGACAACTGTTGGGGCTAAGTGCAGTCAGACCTCCGGTTCGGTTGCACGACTGGATCGGAGGTCTGGTTTCCACCATCGTCCGCTGACCGTTGCCTGTTGCTGTAGCCGCGTCCCAAGTATAAATTTGTTTACGTTAATTGATAAATTACATTTTGTATCAAGTCTAAAACTCAAGAAAAAACCTTAAAAAAGATAAACCTGTTTTCTGGTCGGGGATTACATTTACTTATTCGTGCAAATTTGAAAAAATGTTTGATACACGACTAGTGTGACCAGACACCTGGTTGCTTCAAAGCGTTAAGGCATTCTGATCGGAAAAGGCGGCGGGCACCTTGTTTCGGCGCACTCTTAAATAATCCAACAAATATTTTGTTAAAATTTCTCAGGAATAATGAATAGCATTGGCAAAGACTGTGACGAGCTGAAGAAGCAGTACGATGCCTGCTTCAACAGCTGGTTCTCGGAGCAGTTCCTCAAGGGCCGGACGGATGACTCGGCATGCGCGCCAATCTTCCGGGTTTATCAGGAGTGCGTCAAGGTGAGTCCGCAGGGAGTTTCGCCAAGCACATGGGAACGCAGTATATATAACCCAAACTTTGACCCTCAGCGCGCCATGCTGGAGCAGAAGATAGACCTCAGCAAGATCGGAGCGGAGTACAGCACGCGGTCCGAGTACGAAAGCGCTGGCAGCAGTGCTGCCGGTGGCAAGCAGCCGGGCAGCAAGAGTTGACCCCTAACCCCGGTCGGAGATACTACTAATGTCCAGGAACCGGGCCCTGCCAGCGGCCACGACGAGCCCCGGCACAAGCGAGGGGGAACGGTCTAAGAAAGACCACATACCCGTACCAGAAGATGCTTTTGTTACGTTATATGATTCCTAATCAATATCCCTAGACCTTATGTAAATTTCGTAGTGAATGTGCGGTAGTTATCCATTAAGTTCAAGCTCGCACTCTGTGCATAAATGCAATAAAATTTGTTGTATATTTAAATATTTAAATCTTTTGTTGCTCCTTATCGGCTGAAGGTAAATCCCAGCTCAAGACAAACAAATTCGAGTACTTCCCACTAGGGAAAGTACATACTTGTGCTGATAATACAGGAAATCTCGGCTATAAAGAGCAGATCACTCAGATTGATCTGCACACATTTAAGTAGAGCTTCAAACAGAACAGTCAAGATGCAACTGCTGCCCTCAATCCTTGTACTCTTGGCGCTGGTCATCTGCGCCGCCTCCACGAACCACGAAGAGTGGAGAGGACACCGTCCCGGCGATTACGAAACCAGGACGTACTCAAGACAGTTTTGAGTTACCAGGATCTGAAGGGATCACGTCTTGAACAATCTTAATAAAAATAAAAAACTAAGTAATTAACGTTGTATTTGATGATTAAATCAAACTGGGAGGGAAGCCAATGCCCCAGTGGGATAACAATTGGCATTCGCTTCTTACGTTGTTCCTTGAAACATGTATAAATGTTTTCTGGCCTAAAAACTAAGCTTACTGCCACAGTCGAAACCAAAAACGAAATTGGTTGAAACTGTTTTAGTGGAAAAACTGCGGCAGACGACTGTAAAAACTTATAAACCTAAACAAACTTTTTGCTTAAAGATTAGGTAGTGGATCGTCGGTACGACTTTCACTTGGCGCCGGTGGTGAACTTGGAGAGCTTTTCCAGCAGGCCAATGTACGAAGTGTGTTCATGAGCGGTGGCCAGATCCGACAATTTCTCGGCGAAATCCTGGCTGACGCCCTTCTCCTCCAGCAGGTTGATCAGCAAGTCGTACAAGTAGCCATCGAGCACGTCGCCAGCAACGGCATAGACCTTGTCGTTCCACTCCCCCTCAAAGATGGCCATTTCATCAATGGAGAAGACATCGTCTGGGAGCAAGGAAAAATGTAAATTCATACAGGAATAGTGGGAGACTCTCAATGACTACTTACTGTACTCTCCCTCCTGGGCCTCGCCCTGCAGGAAAGAGCAAGTAAAGGAGAGCGTGGTATTGCCCTTGATGATGTCCACCTCGAACTGGGGCTTGCTCCTCATCTCGCCCAAATTTGGTTTGTCGGCATTCGGATTAATCTCCGGCTCTTCCTCGCTATCGACCGAATGATTCACATTAAGGCTGATCACAACCTTTTCCTTGTCGGTCTGCTTGGTCAGCTCCACATCGGCGCCGGTCAGCTTTACGCTGAATCCATCCAGAGTGCTGGGCACCGTCTTGCCCTTCTGCACCTTGCGCTCGGCCACGATCTCCTCGGTGAGGAACTCCACCAGCTCGCGCTCGCCTGGAAATGCAGAAAAGGACTCCATTTCAATGTTTTGTTTTCCATTTCGTCACCCCACTTTGAGGTTATGTAATGTGCGGCGTGCTCCAAACACGAGGAATAACTTTAATGAGAGAAAGACTCACATTTGGTGTGCACATTGCAGCCGCAGGTGCAGTTAATGCTGGGCTTGTGGACATTCAGGACGGTTACATGATCGGAGGAGCATCCAGAAGAGCCCACCACCGGCTTCTTGGACATGTGCCACAAGCTGCGGGTGAAGTCGCGCTTGCCCAGGGCGCCGGCACTGGAGCTGGCAAGGCTGGCGAAACGCAAAGTAGCTGTCCTCAGACTGTTCATCTTGATTATATAACCGCGGTGATGGTTTTCTTAATTTAATTGAGAAATGTGCAATACGCCGACTAGATATGTCCAGTGTGACTGTAGTTTCTTATAACTTGAATCCCACTTCCAATTGGGGAGGAAGAAATGATTAAAATTATCGATTATTTAAGGCGCCAAAATAAATTTATTTGAATTTCAGTTTCGCAAATAAGCCTTTTATACAGACTACTTTTGAACACAAAGAAAAGTTAGTTATGAATCGAACCAAGGACGATTAAGATCCAAAAAATCACAATCAATTATGAAAAATGACGATTTTATTAGATTTTCGAATTGCTTATCGGATGTATACAACAATATACACAATACAAGACATACACAATAATAAAAAACTACACTCCACTTGGGGTTTTATGGTCTCCACGGTTCCTGATCCTCCGAGAACGGAAGACCCTTTCCTACACAATATTATCATGCATGCAATTCAGACTCTCTCTGTTCATATATATATCATTGTTTTTCAACCAAAAGGCATATCATTTCATCATTATAAAAATTTCAATAAAATCTATCACAATATGAGAATTTTTTCTTTATGTTAATTTTTCTTTTTTTGTAAGATTTTTAAAAATATTTTGTATGTGTAGCTTTTTTCTTTTCTTAAGATTAGATTATTAGAAAAATATATATATATTAATTACGTTGAAAATTGCATTTTACACGTTTTAAATTTAAAAATTGCCATTGTACATTGTATTTATGCAACTTCCTCATATTCAGCGGGACGGACAACAGCTTAAATGTAACATAAAAATATTAAAATGCCAAGCTCAAGCTTTCTTTTTCCGTACGCAAAGCTTACACGTTTAGATTTAAGGCCTAAGGATTCGACACACGATTTTCTACTATTTCATAAGGCTTGATGTTTTTTTTTTTATGGATTTTTGTATATAAATCTTATTCTTGTTTATTTCCGTATTGTGCGTTGTTGGGCTGCGGTGTCAGTTCATATCGAAACAGCCTCATAGAAGTTTTGTTCGTTCCTTAGTCTAGTTCGTACTATTAATTACATTCTAAATTCAATTCCTTATTGAGCTTACTATGTTAGATACAATTTTACGCTTTTGTTAGCTTGGGGCCTTTTAAGACCGTTCGCATTCTGTTAGTTCTCTCGGCCAAAAAACAAACTCGTGTGTAGAAAAAAGTAGTCATTCAGTCTAACAAAATACTTGTTCAATTATTCGATTGAATTTCGAGAGCTGTTCGGATTCGGGTTCGATAACTCGGTGTGTATGATATGTGATATGTGTAAATTTGTACAGCTCTAATATTTGCGCTTACTGAATACACATATATGTATATATATAAGGGGGAAGGGAGGCGACATATTCGATTCCAATTCGGAACGCGGAATGCTTAGATGCCCGCGCACTGTGTTGTCAATAAATTTAACTAAATTTAAACGAAACTTATACAAATTTTACATCAAACTAAAATTACAATACAAGCTAACGTAAAAAAAAGGTGCAACAGGCGATCTTCTCCTCCTCAGCTGCGTTTCAAACGCATCTGCAACACACTGTTGTCTACTTCATTCGCGGGATCGGGTGGGGGTGTTGTACTATAACTAACAGCAACATAAACAACGAAAATATGTTTTTAGAGTATATAGAAATTCGACTAATTTTGCAGGGTGTGGCGCTGCCCCTGCCCACTAGATGTACGTGCGCTTTACTTTCGTCAGCGTGGACGTCTTGCAGGGCAGCTCCTTTTCCAAATGTTCCGTTGAGTTCTTGCACTCGTGACTGCGATCCTTTTCCAGATCCAGATTGGGTGTTTTCTGTGTTGTGGTGTAGGGATTGGACCCCATCAGCAGATTGATATCCTTGCCAGTGTTCTGGTGCTTAAATTGTCTGTGGAGGAAATCATTTAATTAGCGAATTCTTGCAGGTGGGTCCGACTTGAGGGTTAACTCACATTGGCTTGCCAAAATGATTGCGATGACTTTCGTCCATTTGAGCCTCCATCAGACAGTTCCTGGCCTTGACACACATTACGCCCACAGTGCCGCCCACCAGGAAGGTAAAGAAAACGATGACTGTGAGGACCATGAAGCTGAGACTGGAAGCTTGTCGGATTTCATCCACACTGGCTGTTGATTTCTGGGGATCTAATAGAGAATATAGAAATGGATTTTAGAGAGGGATAAGGTGATATATTGATACTGTATTTAGGAACACTAATATAACCGACTACTAACCATTAAGATTGGGCATAATGTCATCGGGATCCATGGACGTAAGCGTGATCTTGTTAAGGCCAAAGTCATCGCCCCCCGTTGGCTGCTGCTCCAAGCTGGGCTGGCTGCCTGACGACGAAGCTCCCACGTTGGAGTACAAGAGCTTCTGCTCCTCAGTCGGCGTTGGGGCCATGGTAACAAAGCTCACGGTTTCGCCGCCTCCCTGTCCATCACGCGGAATGTGTGGGCACAGCGATGCCGCAGCCTTCTTTGTGGTGTTCAGGCTCTGCAGGTAGGTCTTGGTTCCGAACTTGTGCTGACTGGTGGCCAGATTTTTGCACTCGTGCGTCTGCAAATCCCAGGCGCAGATCGGATCCTGCAGGCTTAGACATCCCAGGCAGTCCACAATCAGTGTACAGTGGTGAAGGGGCACACTGACAAGGCTGCCATCACTGACCACCACCAGGGTATTCTTCTTGGAGGAGATCACCAATTCCCTGACCGGTGTTCCCAGCGGCAGCACTTGCATTTCCGAGATAACCACTGTCTTCAGGCGATCCACCGTCGAGTTCTGGTGCGTGGTCACAATGTTTATAAACTTGGTCACCTTGCCGTCGTCGGTACCACTGTAAATCACATCGTAGTGGGTGCCGCTCAGCGACTTGATCTGCGGGTCCACTGCAATAGCGGTGAGCCGATGATGCAGATTGACCTTGGTCATCAGCGGACGTCCGTGGGCTGCGGCCACAGAGTCCTCCATCAGCGGATGGGTCTTGATAAAGTTCACCGCGATGCTGCTCTGGGTGCGGGAGTCCTCTACACATTGTCCAGGTCGAGGCTTGGGTACCTGCTCTCGCTCCACCGGCAGCCAATGGGATTGTGAATCCTTTTGGGACTTGAAGTCACCATCGAAGGCGGCCAGGATGTCATCTAGGTTGAACGCGCAGACGGCCGAGCCGGGAATGGCATTCACCGAGGTGGTAAAGACGGCATAGACCAGCGACTTGCTTCCACTCTCAACCACCGGACTAATGGCCTCTACAAAAGTGAAAGAATGTGGATTAATCTTGGTCTTTTTCTTCTCTTCTTTGTAAGTAAAACTTACGGATTTCGTCAAAGTAGAAAGGGAACTCCCCGGGCACTGAGCAGTTGAGGCGTGCCTTTAGGAAGGAAGTCCAGCTCTTGCCGTGGTTGTAGGGTCCGCCTCGATCGTTTTTGCAGACTCTGGCCACCCGGGAGTAGACGGCCTTGCCAAAGTTCATAAACTCCATTGACAGCTCGCGGAAGAAGAACAGAACGTAGCCGTTCTTCTCGATGGCACCGACAAAGTCCGGCTGGTTGAGCTGCTTGAGATCATATTGTTCGGTGCGCAGGCTCTCCCTGTAGATGAGGGGATCGCCGCCAGAGAAGTCCGCCACGGTGGCACTGTACAACTGACCATCGGCAAAGGCGTAGGTGCTATTGTGGGCGGGACTGTAGGGGCACAGGCCCTGGGCCTCCACATCGCGGCTAACTTCGTAGCGCATGGCGTGGGCTTGGGCGTGTCCGCCATCCTCGGCTGACGCTTCCATCGGCGTGTAATGACGACAGCGGGGCTTGTACGAATTGGTGCCACAGATGAGCACCTCGCCATTGGCCCTACGTGCAAACACGCGCAGGTAGTTGTGGCAATCCCGATCCTTCTTCCCCTTCAGCGTGCACAGCTGCTGGTCAGCGTCCGAGCTGCTCCACTCCAAGCGCCCAATCTCCCGCAGGCCGTGCAGGCTCACATTGTAGATGACGTCCCTGCAAAAACAAGATATGGAGAACAATTGAATTAGCACAAGTCGGGAATTAATTCGCTGATGGCGTGTGCCTGCCCAGAATGCCAAAATGGAAGCCCGCCAAGTGCGGCTGACCAGAAATAAAGCCAAAACGACCAAAAAGCATTTTGTATGATGAGGGGGAGAGCGCTGCTTCGTGCCAGGAACACAGAAAATTATAAGCAGTGGCGGTCATAGCAATAGTAACATTATTATAACTCTCCCTTGAATTTACAATTTTATGATATAGGATCTTGATAGTGATAGTCAGCTCCTATATAAATCCTTCTACCTGCACTTGATATAATATATAATTATACAAAAAAAATAAAACTATAAAACCCTTGAAAATTTATTTTCCCTTTTACTATCAGCAATAATCTCCACTGACTCATTTAACAAATTATTTAAAAAAGAGGTGAGGTCTTCAAAAACGGCTAAAAAAAGTAAACATAACGCTTAATAAACATGTTTTACGATTTTTAAACACAACATGTTTTCCATTGGCGCATTCCAAGCCTTGGCTTTTATTTTTATTATTTCTTTATTTGCCATCAGCGGCGTTGTTTCAGCGCTTTTCAAGAGCAGCGCACAAAGTGTGCTATTATTTTGGCCGCAGCTGTCCATACACAATCATACATCTCAAGGTTGCTTTTTGTGCAAATAATTAGAACTTGTATACAATTGTATAATTCTGTGTTTAAAGTGGCTAATTACTGGGGCTGCTAATTTGTTGCCATGTGTGTTTGAATGTTGTTTGTGGCACCACCAAGTCTGGTGGCTGGGAAAATATGATAGATCGAAAGCTGGTTCGAATTAGTCGGTCCATTTCAGATCTGCGATAACTGGGCATTAGTCAAAAGGGGCGTTTGCACTCAGCGAGAGTGTATGAATAATTTTCGCAGTGAAATGTTTATTCATGAGCTCTTATCGACACACAATGATGCATTCAAAAAGGCTCATTGCAAATCTATATTATTCTGTGACCATAAATATCCGCCAGACTGTGGGGCAGCGTGATAAAATGCTGAATTAAAGATGGAAAATAATATTATATACATATAGGAACACATCTAGGGAAAAGTTAAATATCTCCGGGTCTGGTCAATGTCAAATCACGGCAGCTTCCAGGAAAGCGGATGAGAAATTCTGGATTTGCACTTGCTTTTAGCAACAACGTAACGTAATGCCCATGGCGCGTTAATTATTCCGCGAATCGAACATGTTTTTATAAATATTTAAGCGGGATCGTGCCAAGTTTATTTGTGCTGGCAGAGCACAGGTAGCAGCAAACAAACTTTTGTTTCATTGGCCTGGGGGGAATCGTAAAAGGTAACAATGAAATACACTCACTTGGCACCAACTAGCACACTTTCATCGTTGTGGTCCAAAATCTTAAAATAGTCCGTTGTGTTGCCAGTAAAATGGGCCAAAACTTTGTCGGGTTCTGCAAGAGAATTAACAAGAAAACAAAGTGAGAGGTTGAAATGTTAGTTATACAATCTCCGGCTCCCGGGATTCCTCATAATTCAGTATAGTCTTAAGTTCTGTTTAACTCGCTCCAGAGAGGAAACGCCAATTTGCTGCTGGCTTGGCGAAAATTCCGCACGATAAGCAGAGCTTGGAAAAGCAGAGCTTGCCATTGATAAACCAGCAACAAAAAGAACAGAACAGAAAACGAGTGACACAAATAAATAAATAATTGTTAGATGGAGAAGACTTGGGCCTGGGCCTGGTCTCTTGGTACGTACTTGTTTGCAAATCAGGTCGCACATCGGGCATCCAAGCGTTCGCGATGAGTGGCAGCAAGGTGCAGATCATCATCATATTCAGCAGCAGGTTTATAGGTAAATATATCAATCCGATCTGCCTGCGGCTTATTGGGCTCCCCGTTGAGCTCATTTTGTCTGTCGTTTTTTTGCAGATGGAAAACAATTACTCCTCCAAGTTCTGATGATTCAGCAGCTCTCTGGGTTTGCTGCTGGTTTGCTATTGCTATTGGTGGTGCCACTGCGGCTGGGCGGCTGGGCTGCTGGCTGACTGCTGGCACGGCACTCCAAACTGGCCTGGCCTGGCTGCTTGGCTGCTTGGCTGCTGGCCTCTCTCCGACTGGTTTTAATCACTGACGCCTTGCATTGCCATGTCTGATGTCTGCCATTGTCGCCACCGATAGTTGTGCTGATTACTGGTGTTATTGTCGCTGCTGCTGTTGCTGTTGCTGCTGCTGTTGCTGCTTCAGCATCTGAGTGTCAGCGACAACGACACAATAATAATTTACAGCCACTACAAGAAACTTGTTGGTTTTATTTTAATGCAATTAGCTGGCGCGGCGGCACTGGCGAAAAGGAAAACGCAAAACCTGCAATCGAAGACGGGTTGTGGAAAGGTGTGTTAGAAATTATATCAATTCTCAAGTGAACCAGTACGGTTCTTGGCTCATAAGTTTATAGTCTATAGTGTATAGCAATCAAACTCGACAAAATGTAAGTTTAGCAAAAGGCATTTATCACACGTAGCACCCGGCAATCAAGTATTTTTTTTGACACTTAATAAAGCTAGACCCTGAATATGTATTAATTTGAGGCCATCATTTGCGCACAGCAATCATGTTTTATTTTATTATTATTATTATAATTTGCAGCATCATAAATTTGTTTGCTTTATTTGCGGGTTTCCCCTGCCTTTATTACCGAATCAGATAATTAATTTCCACTTATATAACCGAGTTCGTGGCGGCTACTTGTGAATTCTGCACACTTTCTTCCCTCTTTCCGGCTTAGCCGTGTTTATGTTTTGTATTTCTTGTTGAATTTGGCCAGCGGACCGCGAACCGAACGTGGGCTAGACTCGATGAGCACTAAACACTAAACTATACACAACCGAAATGAGCTCGAAATGCGAATAGCAAACAGCGCAGAGCACCCGCCCACGATTTGATAGCAACTGCTCGACAAACCCTCGCCGACCGACGCCGAGGGAACAATAGCTCTGGCCATTATCCCTAGTTTCGAGCTCTCTCTCGTCTCCTCTCTCTCTAGCTGCTCTTACAGGAAAACCTCCCTAGGTGGGAACACACATGCAAGAACAGGGAGCACTCAAATTGAGGGGAAAACTCGGTCTTTATCATCGAATCTTCACGCACACTTAACTGCCACAAGAGGTCGAACTTTGAACTTTTTGAAGCCGTCGAATTTTGGGGTTCTGAGGTTTTTAGAGAGTCGAAAATGTATATTATAGTGTCTAAAAACAAATCATAAAACACCAAAAAAACAGATACAGAAACGTAAAGTGTAAATTAACAATTTTATTTGCCAAAAACATTCATTCTTTGTGTTCCTACACATCAGACAGAACCTTGACGTATTGCTTTTAAGCTATTTTTTGCATTTAATGGTTTTTTTTCGTAAGATAAACAAGTATTTTTTCGGGAAAATAAATGGTAGATTCGATATAGACTGCTAAACCTATAAAATTTAACCTTAGAAAACTTGATTCTAAAATTGTAAAGATACAATTCAGCACGTAAACTGTATAGAAAATTAAGAAAGATACTGAAGATAAAACCCATTGTCTGACATGCTAAACTATCTTTACGACGACACCTTTTTTTTATTTTACTTTCACAAAGAGGTGATAATGATAAGGATTGCTAGAAAGGGCCATAAAAGATACACCTTAAGAGTTCTCTTTCAGCGTGCATCTCAAGACTTCCAGATGTTGGTTTTACTGATAGATAGGAACCCGAAAACGAAGCCTGACTGTATCCAATCCTCCTTCGCGTCCGGGCTCTAACATGTCGTGTTGTTTCGGCCATGACTCATGGGCACGGCCAGCTAGCCTGGTTTTCCTGCCTTTGTTGGGAATCACGTGCGGTATTTTCCGCCAATTTCCCAATGAAATCATTTACCTTTCCGCTACTCCGATTTTCAGGACGTGCCGCGTCCGTCTCCCTCTGACTTTTTATTTCCCCCGCGGCGGCAAACACCGTACATAGGAGCATATACATACATACATAGGTGTGTGTTTTCCTCATTCACATACACACGTAATTTCCATGCGGGTTTTCAGGTTTCTGTATTTTTTCTCAAGACTTTGTAGAGTTTCTCACGCACCCGAAAAAGTCGGTGGGTTACACATGGACAACTTTTACCTAGTGATCGGATGGGATCTCCGATAAATTGCTTTATTGGCCAATTGAAGGTCGGTGGCAACGGCAACGGCAACGCAACTACTTGTTGTTTCGCTCAATGAAGTCGGCCAGGCCGGTGATTCGTGGTGGCGGGTATGGTATCGTCTTACTCGAACTCGTACGTTTTCCTAAGCGAAGGTTTTTTCACGGCTCAGCCGCCGTCACTGCCGTCACCGCCAGAGTCTCGAGTCACAGGTCAAGTGACCTGCGGCCCATCTCTTGGCTGGTCGCATTAATGCCCTCAAATTATAGGGGTTGGATGGATGGATGGCTAGCCTCAAGAACACGTATGAGAAATGCCATAAAAGTGCATTAATAAATAATATAAATTACATTTGAATACCCTCTTGGAGCGGCACAATTTATCATTCGTTTTTTCGCGGCTTACTAAAGCGGAGAAATCGGCGAATGGTACTGCCCGCCAAGTTGGGTACAAGAGTAGCTGCTTTTAAGGTGTTAAAAGACCAGAAAACCCTCACCAAAAATAGTCAGTCATTCAAAAAATATGGGAAAAACGTAATTAACACCTATTTTCCTGTGTGTGTGTGTGTGTGTGTTTTTAGGCGCCCTAGTTCTATGACCGAATTGGCTTAGTTTGAAAGTAATTAAAGGTGAAGTGCTGGGTAAGATAGGTTGAAAGTCAGATTACTTAACAAATACTCTCTTGAAAATCTAATTATTTCAGGCTAGAATCAAATATTACAACCTTAAAATACCAAAAGAATATTTCAAACTAAAGCTGTCAACTTGTGTAATATTATAGCTCAACCCTGTTGCAATGTCTGGAAATTCAAACAAGGGCATTCGCATTTCGTGGTGGCGAAAATAAAGGCGGCTTTTTCGTAAGTTTTCATTTTTTAGTTGTTGTGTGGTGGTTGTGTGGTGTTCTCATATTTCACAAGCCACACACACTCTCGGGTTCAATGCCAGGAAGTCCGTTCCGCTTCTGGCAGTACCATAAAAATACAGATACAATTATTACTACTGGCCGTCTGGCGTCGTTGCGTTAATGAGCTCAAATTTGAGATCAAGTTACCGAATGTGTGTGCCACTATTTTTTGGAAGTCTCTAACGGCTATAGGTTACACCACCCATCCGTTCGCCCGCCCGTCTACCTCTTCTAACGATAACTGAAAAGCGGGACAGTCTGGAGAGTCTAGAGATAACAGCCTCACATCGCGATAAGAGTGAAAAGTATGTCACGTTTGACACTTCTACTCAATCTTTTGTGTGTTTTTGGCCTGCGTGTGGGAAGCCCGCAAAGAACGTGTTAAATCGAGATACCTTTTCTTTTCGGTTAGGTGAAAGAGAAGAGAGTGAAGAAAACTGGTAGTTTGTCTTACAGCATACGTGATCAAACCGAAATTGATTTAAGCGTGTAGTTATTAGATATACACCGCTTGCAATCATACGCCCACAGCAGGACGCCCTACGGAGTACAGTGGTAACTTAGTTAGTGCTACTACTAAGTATCGAATGCAACTGGTTACTTCTTAAGGTCCTAAATAATCTCTGGTCTTGTTACGAACTCGTGCATATTTCCCATTTTCTTTACGAGTCTGAGAGCAAAAGCCCACGTTTATTATTTTAATGAAGTCTCATATTCTGTAAAGCTTTCATTATTGCAGCTCTTTTACTTGCTTGTGAAGAAAATTAGCGAAATTTTCCCAGACAGGCAGACAGGTAGCATGTGAAATTACAACTTTAAACTTGTTTTCAGCGAAATTGCGTGCTCTAAAGGGGAGAAACAATGAACTTTACAATGTTTTTATGACTCTTAAATGGCATGAAATGTCATAAAGAAATTATATATTGACATTAATTATTGAACTTTTACAGCATTAAAATCGTCTTTAGGGAAATACGCTGTTTTTTAGAGAGTTTAAGATGGGGAAAAATTAAATTAAAACTTCAAACTTGTTTATAATATAGAATTCAAACAAATTAAATGATGTTTAAAGTTCTTATTAAATAAATACTATATATTCAACTGTCAAAGTACTTCTAACAACGGTTACTTCAAGCCAAGTGCCACTGTATAACCCGTTTCGGGGTCCGTGGGCGTTTTCATTAAGTCGAAACGAGTGGCAACAGGTGGATTCGAGTGGCGTGGAGTGGATACGCCAATGCTCAAGCTGATGTTGCCTTTTGGAGCCCCACTGGCTGCCACTGATTGAATGGCGACGAAGCTTGGACTCGGACTCCGAACTGATGTAATGGCAATATGCATATTTTTTTGTTTATGAATTTATAATCAATTCTGAATGGGTTCTGCCTTTGTTTTCCTTTCGCTTATCGCCAACGGCGACAACTAAAGCAGAAGCGGTTCATTGCACTGTTCTTATTATTTTCCATACTTATCGAAAAAAAAACAATACGAGTTGTGGGCACAAAATAATCACCGGACTTCCGATGTCTTTGGTGATTCATTTGGAGCAACCAGTTCGCTATAGTTTTTGACGAAGCGTAGCAAATAGATGATTCAACTGTTTGGTGTTGTCTCTTCTGAACTGTGAAAACTGTAGGTGTTAATATGGCGCGACAAGTTTTTTGGGTTTTCATTCACAAAACACAATGCACAACAAGGCACAAAAATGTGGGAGTAACTCCATTTCGGTGGCTCCACACACTACTCTGTGTTAATCGATGCACAGACACAAATTTCGGACAGGCGGCACTGCAGCGGTGGGGTTAAGTGGGACGCGTTCCACTTTTTCCACACTTGAGCTGGGGGAAAACGCACTTGGAAGCTGCCTGCTTAGGGGAAGACTGGAAAATCGGGAACGCGCGCCGAGTGCTAGCTGGAATATTTAAATGCAACTCCATTTTGGCTTTACCGTTACAGCTCGGTGGTAAATTGATTAGGCTGCTAATTTATTGGATTCTGTTTTCTTTTGGGCATCGAACCCGTTTTTTACTGTTGCTCCAAAGTCTAAACCAACCACCGCCTCGGCTCGCTCGAAAAACAAGTCCGATATTCACCTGTAGCTAGCTACGCGTCACTTCTAAGCTGGCCAACAGCACTCTTTGCCTTATGCTTCTTATTATCCGTCGTCTCTTTCGACTTGCTTGCTTGGCCACCGCCGAGTTGGCTTTACCACTTTACCACTTTGGCTGCTGTTTACAGCATTCACACACACACACACACTCACTCACGTCGACGATTTATTTTCTTGTATTACTTGTTTCTTATGTTGGCTTGGTTTGTTTATATAGATATGTACGCCACAGTTGTTGTTGTTGTCGCTGCATGAGCATAAATTAAGGAGCGAGCGAGATGGGACTAACACACGTCTGTACACAATGAAAACCTGTTTGTTGCTTTTATATATTCCCTGTGCGTCGCTCTTTGGGTGTGTGTTGTTGTTGCCTGGACGCGAGAGACGCTGTGCGGGGGATCACTTTTAAATCACAGTTTTACTAACTTTTCCACTCGATAATCACAGTTCCTCAACGTTGCACTCTATCAGCTGGCCTTTGACCAACTCCTTGACTCACCAAAACTCATTAAAACATTTAAATAAACGATTAAACTAAGAGCGAAAACACGGAAAAACACGAAAATGGCCGTCGATGTGTATAGCTGCAAAAACAATGTTGCCGTGGCACACATAAATACCATTATCCAAAGAAAATCGAGATTTCTCGTCTTTGCCGAAGCTGGTCACACTGCTTACTGGTTGATGTATCGATGAAAACATCGATTGCAAAATAAATAAATACTAAAGTTGCTCAGACGTTGGTTTTGGTATTTTTAAAAACAGTATTATTGGCGCAAATCTGTTAATGCATTTTACTTTCTACATGAGGATTCGACACCGAGGGAGAGAATTTTACCTCATGTATCTGTAAGCGTGTATAATTGCTATCTAGACGTGTAAGGTGTAAAATTTTAAATATCGTATCGCAGTATCGAAGTATCGATTAATCGATGTTTTCACGAACAGAATATCACGATATAGACTATCGATTTATTGATAGTTTGATATACAACAGCCCTACGCGAAACACGCAAATCACCAAAATGAAAATGAAAATAAATGAAGTGCAGTGAAAATTAAGTGCAATAATTTCCCGACCAGGCCAACGAGCTGACAGTGCAATACACCATGGCTACCAAGTAAGTGCAGCAGTGATAACGCTAGATAGCAATGGAAAAACTTCTTCTTGGGTCATCTGCAAGTGTGTGTGTTTGTGTGGGCGGCGCGTTGTGTATGTGAGGGTATTTTTGTGTTTGTTTTGAGCTGCAGCCTCCGGCCCCTCCTCCCCCTTCGCCCACCAGCTAATTCGCATTCACATAGACAATCAGCGTAGGAAGCAGAGCCAGGCGAGGAAAGTATTGATTCCCCGATAAGAGCGGTGAAATTTATCAAATGGCAAGAGTTCAAACGGTAGATGTAAACCGGTTAATGGAGAAACTTTAGGCTGTGATTAGGGTTTACCTGGAGATTATAATGGATATAGAAAGACCATTCATAAATCAAAAGTTTTGCTATAAAGACATTATTTTATAACAAATAGTGCATTAATTACAATTTATTAAAGTCAGTTTACCCTGGCTGGATATTATAGTTTCAGACAGAAGTTTGCAAGACAATGAAGGATTGGTATTTGTGGTATTCATTATATATGTATATGTTTGTTTACTCCTCTTCTATGACCTATAATTAATTCCTGGTTCTAAGGTCAAAAACCTTTGAGTTGTATTCTTTTGAAAGATTCCCCGCATAAAGCTATCTCACGTAGCAACTGTTAAATAATAACTTGGGAACTCCCCGCAGGTGTTTCATTACATAGCAATCATGACAAGCTTATTTTATAGCATGAATGCATTGAATAGTGAGCATCATGATGTAAATGAATTTGAACCAAGTAAATTGTCAGCTCGAAGGCTGGCAACTGGTTTTCGCTGGGTCTGTCAATTTAATTGTCTTCCCTAACTCAATCCCTGCTTGGGATTTTTTGCACTCATATGTAAAAAGCTCGCCGATTTAGTAGGTGGACTGAAGTGCCATTTTTTTGTACTTTGGTATCTGAACATCGCTTGAGTCAAAACTTGTTTGCTTCTTAATTAAGCCAGCCTTCGTTTTGGGCTCGATGATGAGGCATCGGTCGCGGGCTTAGATAGTTTTCGTTCAACCATAGACAGGTCACCATGTCTCGTTCTCCTCCTGGTTCGCTTGTTTCCGCGGTGAGTGATAGAAATTCGCAAAGAAAGTGCATAAATTATGACCAATTATATACTATTCTCTTAGCTGTTCGCTATTCTCCTCGTTAACTTGGCCTCAGCGGCGCCACAGAACTCGCCCACTTTGGTGCCACACATCCGTACCAATGGCTTCCAGCTGGAGCCCCTCAATCAGGAGTATTTTCTCAGGTAGTTTGAGTCAATCTTCGGTCTGTTTAGATTTCACCTTGAGGAATTATATTTCCGCCGCAGAATCGAGCAGCCGGGTGGAAGCATTCGCCAGGAGACGGTGAAACAGAACGAAGCCGGTCATTTGCAGGTTACTGGAGTGATCAATCAGCCCTACGAGGATCATGGTGCCCATCTTGTGGTCACCTATGAAGCAGGTCCCAATGGTTACGTGGCAAAGTATAGCTATGGCAAGGGACCTCCGACTCCGCCGCCCCAATTTCCTCTGTTCCTTAGTGCAAATGCCCTAAAAACGGCCACTGGATGAGCTTTAGTAGTTTTTATAAAATAAAATAAAATAAAATTTTGAAAAAGTTTATTATACTTTCTATATGCCTAAAAAGATTTGCCCGTTAATGCTGATCTAGAATATATATATGATTTATAAGGTCGGAAATGAATCCTTTACACCGTTACAACTGAAATTATGATTCTATTTTTTGAGTCGATATTAATAATATTTTTATATTGCAATTTGGTCAACTGAAAGTTTAAAAATTTCATAACTTGGTCAAAAAAGCATTAATTTTAATTCGGAAAGCGTTCCCATGTTAGTTTTTATTAGGCTAATAAATCTGCTTACTCAATCAAAAATTTTAAAATTTAAAATTTTTTGTGAAATTTTTGCCAATTTTAAACCCTTAAAAATTGTTGAAAAAATTGAAAAAAATTATTTTATTCCAAACACGTCTAGATCGACTCCGATTTTAATTCTGATCAAGAATATATATGATTTATAGGGTCGGAAATGGCTCCTTCATCAAGAATACCCAAAATGTGTCCATTATAAGGACTTTAGATCAACATTTTAATATGATAATTTTTTTTGGCAAAATTGTAGTTTTCCAAATCTCATAACTAAGCCAAAAATGCATTGATTTCAATTCGGAAAGCTGTTCCATGCTAGTTTTTATTAGGCTAATAAATCGGCATACTTCATTTAAAATGTAAAAAAAATAACATTTTTGTCAAATTTTTGGCCATTTCAACCCCTTATAAAATTTGGAAAAAATTGACAAAAATTTATAATCTTTCCTACATGCCTAGAAAGATTCGCCTGTTAATGCCGATCAAGAATATATATGATTTATTGGATCAGAAATGACTCCTTCACTGCATTTCAAGCTTCTGACTGAAATTATAATGAAGGAAGGAAGGAATAATTCATAGATTTGGAAATATGAATTTAAACAATAAGGATATGGTACGAGTAAGCCTTTCCCTAATTTAATTTGTTATTGAAATTAAACAAAGTAAACCTACTAGCACTACAGTGTTATAGCTTCATAGATAACAAGGAACTTCTTTCCAATATTGGATAATATTGAATTAATTTACCAATAAGAAATATTCTTCAGCATCGCCCAAATGTCTAGTCAAGGTAATAATCTGGATTTTCTATAAAAGTTTGTTCAGTAAACCAGCAAAAGCTTGGTTGTTTCTTTTTTATGGTTTATTAACGCTTCCAGTTTAAAACTTGTATCGATTAGTGTTTAGCCTTAGCTTCGACTTGAATAGTCTTCTAAAAATTTCAGTCGCCGAGCAGCCTTCGTAAGATCATCATCACGATGTCTGTGAAAATATTTAGCACTGTGAGTTGGTCAGCGTCTCTTTGATGTATTTAAAACAATACCAGCTTTAGGTGCTTTTGATTCTGCTTCTAAATCGGGCAATTTCGGCAGCCACATCTGGTCTCCATGTGCCCAACATTAATGATAATGGTGTTATCTTAGTGCCTTCCGATAATCAATATTACCTCAGGTAAATGAATATAATTAAATAGTGAACAAAAACAGAGAGCAACTCCATATCTTCTAGGATCGATGTAGATGGAACGGGACGTGAGGAGACCGTTGAAGAGATTGCTCCTGGCCAGCTTCTGGTCAGAGGTAGCTTCGGACAACCCTTTCCGGGCTCCAAATACCTGCTGGTCACCTATGAAGCCGGACCCAATGGCTATGTGGCCAAGTATAGCTACTCCGAACAATTTAATCAGGTTCTAGGTCTACCACCGGCCGTGTTGAAAACTATAGCTGGTTAAAAACTAAAAATAATCAGAAAATATTTCTAATTACGAGAAAAACGTGCTTTATTTTCAACTCAATTGTATGCAATGTTAAAAGTTTTCAATATCATTTCAGAACATAGTACTTCTTACTTATATGTATTTCTTCTGAATTTTAAAGTGTTGAGTTGGTGAAATAATTTGCAAAACAATAATAAACCCTGACTTTAAAAAATTTAAGAAACCAGAATGTTGGTTTATTTGTTTTTATAATAAGTTTTAGCCAGTTTTAGACTAGTTTTTGATTTTTTAGGCATGCGTATTTTGCCAAGATCTATTTCCAGTTTCAAGGCGAATGTCAGCAGATTAACATGTCTGCTCGCAAGTTATTTAGCATGGTATGTTTCATATATATCTATATTCTAAAGCTGTTTCTAACATTTCGGTTGTAGTTATTCCTGGTAGTTTTTTTATGTGAAAGTTGGGCGACCACTTCCGTGCCAGATTCAGTTTTATGGTTAGTGCCGCATCGTCAAACCAAGGGCGTCACTGTAGATTCCTGGGAGGATCGATATGAAGTCCGGTAAATTCATATACAAATTTGTCGAATATAGTGATACCCTTCCATTACTTCTTAAAGAATAATACTGCCCAAGAAAACCTGTATTTAAAAACGCAATAAATGATAATAATAAAGAATAACTAAAAAACAAAGAAATTTGCCTTTAAAGAGCTCTTAAAATGTATGGATTAACAGCCACTAAGCACAACCTTAACTTAACTCTCAAACTGTAATCAATACAATTGACATTGAGTGGCTCCCAGTTTCATGCTTATATTACGTATACGACTCGTAAGCCCGCTCAACCGCAGCGATGGAGAAAACCTCGACGCTTTCTAGCCTTTACTCACCTGCGCTCGTGCTCTCACCTTTGGCGTGAGCAGCATTCTAATCACGTCGCTCGGCACGCTCTCCCATATCACATATTTTAGGTACTACCTACTAAATATATACTTCAGTCAGGCAGCTGGGCCACATCAGACATCAGACAGTTGGCATTGTGTGGCGGTATTGGCTTGTTGACTTATCAGAATCAGCGTTCGCTCGTCGGAATGTGATAAGCGGCAGCTCTAAACTCGAAAGCTGTTGGATTTCGGAATCTCTTGTGGAACAATGTTTCGGGACTGGCGGAAGTCCAGACACAAGCGATGGCAGCAGCTGCAACAGAAGCAACAGCAGCCATTACTTCTCAGCGAAAGGTTGATACAGTGAAAATCAGAGGGGCAATTATAATAGATTTCTATGTGAAAGTTACTTGAATCTATTGATTTGTTCTCTCTTAATTTGTTTTCCCATTTTGCCTATTTACAGGGAGACTATGATCGTGTTCGTCTACGACACAGAGTGTCTGCAGGATGAAGCGGATGATCCCATAGCGGCGGTGCTTTACTTCCATCCCAGTTGGGTTTCAGACACCCAAAAGGTGGCTTTGTGCGGGCAGCTGATGGGCACTTCGTACTTCCTCAAAGATTGCTTCTTCAAGCCGCGCATCCTGGCTCTGCAGAATGGAAAGTTTGTGCTCAAGGAGTTTGGACGTTTCACCTTGGTAACAACTTTTCTCTATTTATTATTCCAAACTCTATTTAATTTCAAATTTGATTCTTTAAGGCTGTTGGCACTGATCGGAATATAGGCGATGAACTCCTGGAACACCGCGCCGAGCTGCTTAGTTCCCTGCTCAAGTTTTTCCACCGTGATCTGCAAACTCTATACGATCAATATGCCCTGCCACCCGCATTGAATAGTCGGAATCTCAGCGAGAAACTCTACCACATCTTTGAGACATATTTGCCGATGCTGCAAAGGAATGGCAACACATTCCAAAATGTCCCCAGATTGCGCATGCCGAAGGTGAGTGAATCTTTCAGCCTGCTGACTCTTAATTAATTAAGTTTCCTCTAACAGACCGCCAGTCACATCTTCTTGGAAGCCATACAGACGCTGCAGAGTTGTCAGCAGACTAAGGGGATCCTAGGCGGAGCCATTCTCTATCACAACAAGTGAGTATTCAAATTTGAAAGCTTAAACGTAGTTATTATTTCCTTTAAACTGCTTTCAGAGTGGTGGCCTCCCAGCTGAGCGACATGGTGACCAAGCAACTGGTTCTCACCGATCCTCGGCATATACGCACGGCCGCCGAGCAGGTGTCCATTCAGCAGCAGCAGCAGTTTCACATTCCCAACGGCGTCCAGATGCTGGTGGTGTACATGGAGCAAAAGCAGTACCGCGAGTTGGCCGGGGAGGCACAGCGCGCCCAAAACTTGCAGCTGATGGGCACGGCTCAGCTACCGCACAGCGGAATGCCTTTTCAGTACGCCAAGCGAAAGATTAAGCGGGATAAATCGCTGATCTTCACGCACATACCAGAGGAGGAGCATGCACCGGAGCACGAGCAGCAGCAACCGCAGCAACCGGCTACCGTGGAGATGCCCCCAGCTAGACCCAAAGCCATGCGACCCACACACCTTCCGCTGCGCCTGAAGAGCATGCACAGCAAGGACTTGCCCGAGTCCGGAATCGCATCCATCAACTTTGATGAGACAGACTCCTATCCGGAATTTATTGGACGCACAAGCGTGTGCAACACGCCGATGACCGAGAACAAAGTTCTGCCCGTCGGCAGTGTGATGTCCATTTGCGCCAATCCCGATGATCCCGAGGGCAAGGCAGAGGATGTCCACAATTCCAATGGCAAGGCCCAGTCGCGGCGAAACTCCCTTAAGCTTGACGTGGAGAAGTTCTTCCAGAACTTCATCAGCAATCCCAGCAAGCAGATGACTCGTCGGAAGTCGTCCGCCGATCTGCAGGATGCCCTGCGTGCCATTTCCAAGAAACTGAATCACATCACAGGGTTTAAAACAGACGTGAATAGAAATGGAAGTGGTAACAGTGACGACTCCTCCTCGGGTTCGCCGGATTTCATAGAGAACGACGAGAAGATCACCTCGCGAACCATCAGCGATCCCACCTATCCGGTATTTAACACTAATGGCCAGCAGATCTCACGCAGCCTGTTCCAGCAATTCCTCGATCAGTACCGTCGGCTTTGGGGCGCAGCCAGCGAGCAAGCACATCAGGATGCCGAGTTAGCTGCCCTGGTAGCCGAGTTTAAAGAATTCAATGCTGAAATCCAAAAGCTGGACGAACACATGCGACAACAGGCCGCGGAGGCGGAGGCGGTATCGGCCGATAGGAATCTCAACAACTCTGCAACAGCCAAAACTCCCTTGGACAAGCGCTCCATGACGCTGCCCCTAAAGTCAGCGGGAGAAGCCACTTTTGGGGAGCGTGCCTCCAGTCGCAGTGTAGCAGGAGGTGTACCCTTGACTCCCCTAATGGCCAAGCTCTCGGTTCTGGCTCTCAGTGAAACCACACCGATAGAGATACAAACGCCGCTGACCAGCAGCAAGGTCTTTCCACGTCGCAGCTCCCTGAAGTGCGAGGATGCTGTGGATGCCTTAGCGGCTATGTCCACTGCTCCTGCTCTGCCGCCAGCTTCCGGTCAATCGGATGGCTTACAGCGCACAGAACTCTACATTTGTGGTCAACAGAACATGACCCTGTTGCTGCTCATGGAGGAGGGCACCTGCCATCAGCAGAAGGTGGTCCAGAAGATGGTGAGTAGAAGAATAGATCCTAATTTTCTGATAATATATATTATTGCCTTGATTTAGTTTGACATTTGCGTGGCCAAGTTTCCGCACATGGAATCTCAACTGAATCAGACTCTGAACGTGAATGTGGAGGGCGATAAGCGAGATGGCAGCAACTATAGCTTCATGTGCGTGGATGCCAAGTGGGATGTGCTGCAGCGGAATGGTCCCTGGAATCCCCTAGAGCTTAACATCCTGGAGAGCATGCACTCGATACATTCCAGTGGACACCATCATCTTACGGACTTGATACTGAGGTGAGTGCTGAATACACCTCTGATATAAAACCAGCCAGTTAAAATGTTGAATGGTGTCCCTACCAGATCCCATGACTCGGTTTACTATGGCCACAAGAGCGGCCGGACCGAGTTCTTTTACAAGGAGCCCACCCATCAGATAAACGGCATACCGCCGCCCTCAGATCCCATTGGGAACATACAGATGCGCGCCAAGTCGCGGCTGGAACGCGATCATTCCTACATGCTGTTCTAGGACGTTGCCTAGATCATTGTCGTCGTATAATTATAAACATATTGAATACTCGCATGCTTAGCCAAAAAGAAAACAGAAAACCAAAAACGATAACGTTAACGGGGCGTCTCTTCAAGTGCGTTTTGGGAGAGCCCGTAAAAAGCCAACTTAATGCCATCCGCTGCTGTTGTTTACTTTGCGATCTCCAGCTCCCACGCGAGTTGTGTGTGTGTGTTCGGAAAATTATTCCATATCATATACATATATACAAGGGAACTCTATTTTAAAAGATTTATACTCTTGCTTTGACGAATTTTATACGAAAATTTACACAGAGAAACGCAGCAGTTGTTGAACTTTTCCGATCCCCCCTCGCGTGGGATTCCATTTTGCCTTGTTTTATCCTTTCACTTGATCGATGTAAAGTACAAAAGTGTTTTTATGCTTCGTTTACAATGTCCAGCACTGCACTGTTGTTGTTTAATTTATAAGCTTGTAATCTGTACACTTATTTTAGTTATTATCTTACACTTGCTTTGCTTTACCAAAGGAATTAAGTTGAGGTCGAGCTTTTAATTGTAAATACGATGCAGGAATTAGATTCGTTTAGGTGGAATAAATTATTTGTAACTAACTTATAGACACATTCCGTTCTGTCCAAACCTACTCTTAGCCGATCTATTATCATTATCAATTATATTATTATGGTATTATTAAGCGCTTTGTGCCAATTTAAATGCAAAAGACCGTCGAATGCAAGGGAACTTGGGAGGAGGCATGATTTTAAAACTATGAAACCGTTTTAGCAGCACTGTAAATTCTGTGCAAAATGCTATATACATATACATATACATAGAAGACAAACAACTATTTGAGAGTTTTTGCGTTGACTTAGCTTAAATATACATATTACATAAATACCTATACGTATATATATATACATAAATATTCATATATGATACAAAGATCGGTATTGTTTTGTAGATTTTCGAAAAATAAACCGACAAAACCGTCGCGTTGTCGTCTGTGTTTGAGAAATACTTTTTTCCGAGCTTGACATTGGGGAAGGCAAAAATTAATAACAATAATAATGTACATTCCGATTATTTCGATCATTTTAAAATTTTAAATGTGATACGAAGTGAAATAGAATATTTCTTATAACGATTTGAACCTTTTCTCCCGGTATCTATCCCAAGTTAAAACTCATTAAAGCTAAGGCATTTTCATCACGATCCAAGGAACTCGTCCGTAATACTTGTAATGATAGTAATCGAAGGCCAGCTTGCCCAGGATGAGAAGGATGAGGCTCGCCAGTACTGCGTTTAGCCAATCAATGGGATGAATCAGCGGTCCACTGTCCACGCTGACATTGCACATATCCTGGCGACTCAAGGTCAGCACCTTGGCCAGCCGCTGCTCATCCTCCTGCATGTAGGTGCAGGACACATTCCAGGCATCCCTAACAATGTCCTTGTACTTGGTGAGCAGCTCGCGCAATCTACTCCCAAACTTGCAGGTGCAATGCCAGGGATTCCGGCTGAGCAGCAAGAGATTGGCATTCTCGTTGTCATTCAGCGCATTGTCCAGGGCGTAGACGTGCAGCTTCCGGAGGTTGTTGCCCCGCAAGTTGAGCAGCCGGAAGTTCTGCAGCCAGTAGGTGTCCTCAAGGTCGTCCACATTGGCCACACGATTGTTCTCCAGCTGGATATCCACCACGTGGCGGTAGTGGGGATTGTTCCGTAGCGGATTGATGTCACTGATCTGATGAAAACAAATGGAAGTTTTATCTTAAGTAAGATGGGGAAGAAGCTAGTAATCTTACCATATTATCGTTAATGGTCAACGTGGTTGTGTTCTCTGGCAAAAAGGCTGGCAATCGATGGAACTGCAGGTGGGAGCAGTTCACCGTGTATAAGGGAATGTGCGTCTTGGGCAAGATATGATGCATCAGGCAAGTGCAGTTCCTCAAATCCTCATGAGACTGGCATTGCGTTTTCAACTCCTAAAATGATATTTTATTAATAATTAAACCATTATTTATAGAACCGTAAACTCACCAATTTGTAGTGCATGACGAGCAGCATCTGGCGTTCCTTGTACTTGCGATCCGTGCAAATGAGCTCATCCCTGTCCACCACCAGTCTCCCCTTCTCCGGCTGCAGCAGCATCCACTTGAAGTTCCTTGTGCAGTTCCAGGGATTCCCCGCCAGATACAGCTGCTCGAAATTGCGGGGCAGCAACAGCGGTCCATCCAGTTGGATGAGCTGGTTCCAGCGCAGGTCCAGGACCTTGAGGAAATGCACTCGCTTGAAGGTACGTGAGGAAATGTACGAGAGATTCGTCCACGAAATGTTGATGGTCTGCAGGTCGTGCATTTCCGGAAAATCGAACTTGAACTCAGTGAAGCCACTGTACTCGATGGTGAGGGAGCGGAGACGGGGCAGCTTCTGGAGCTCCTTGAGGGGATTGAATCCATCGTGTGGCCAGCCGCAGAGAAGCATTTCCAGCGCTGGCTGATGGCGGCTGAGTTTTCTAAAGGAAAAAGGTAAATATAATATATTTGTTCACATAAATTCAATATCTACAGTAAAAATAGAAGCACCATGGAAATATCTAGGGATAAGAATTCAAAAAGCGTAGTAATTCTAAAAAAAAAATGTAAGTGCCTACAAAAGAATATGCTAAAAATGTTACAGCGTCTTTTATGACCTTTTTAAATTGATTTTAAATTATTAATTCCAGAAGATGAATTTATAAGTTATATGTTTGCAAAATAGTAAAGAAGTCATTTCCGACCCTATAAATCATATATATTCTTGATCAGAATCAAAATCCGAGTCGATCTAGCCGTGTTTGGAAGAAAATAATTTTTTTTAATTTTTTCAATAATTTTTAATGGTTTAAAATTGGCAAAAATTTGACAAAAAATTCGAAAAATTTTTAATTGAGTATGCAGATTTATTAATTTTATAAAAACTAACATGGGAACGCTTTCCGAAGTGAAATCTGCATTTTTGGCTTAGTTATGGTATTTGGAAAACTATAATTTTGGCAAAATAAATTATCATATTAAAATATTGATATTAAGTCCTTATAATGGACAATTTTAGGAATTCTTGATGAAGAACCCATTTCCGACCCTATAAATTATATATATTCTTGATCAGCATAAAAAGACGACTTAATCTGGGCATGTTTAAAGGAATATATATATTTTTTTAATTTTTTCATCGTTAAAGTTGGCAAAAATTGTGAAAAATTTTAAAATTTTTAATATTTTAAATTAAGTATGCAGATTTATTATTCTAATAAAAACTAATATAGGAAAGCTTTCCGAATTGAAATTAATGCAATTTTAGCTAAGTTGTGATTGATTTAGGAAATGTCTCCCTGCATGGATATACGAGCTTCTGTTACCCCGAAGTTAGCTTATTTTCTTTTTAAAAGAGTTTAAAAAATATGGTAGACTGATAATTAGATATTTACGCCTCTAAGAATATTATATCACCCGAAATACACTTAGTGTACAGACTCTTACGATTTATGGTTTTAATTCTTGTGTTTCCACAGACATCAGCCGGACAAACAGCGTGTCAGGAGTACTCACGTCAAAGCGGCCAGGTTATTCATCCCGCCATAGCACTTCAGGGTTCCGTTCCGGGTCAATCTGGAACAGTTTCCTCCCGCTGCCTCCGGAGCAGATGTCCAATCAAAGCAACCGCTGGTGAAGTCCGGCGTCGTAGTGATCTTCGTGGTTGTGGTGGCCACCATTGTGGTGGTGGTGGTGGTGGTTGCTTCATGGCCATCAGTCTTCTCGACGGCTTGGCTCAGTCTAGGTAGCAGATAATTGGTAAGTCAATAGACTAGACTAGACTAGACAAACTCATAATTCTCGGCTATTTTTGGATCCCAGAACAGCCCTCAAATTGCTGGTGATAATTCCGTCGCAGAGCAACGCTCGTTTAGGGCCAAAACTTGATAAGCAGACGCCAGGTAAGACCTTATTGCTTGGGAAAAACACAGATACGGACGGAATACTAAAAAAACAGATACTGACTATTTAATTAGCTGTGTCTTCCTGGTCCCCAAAAAGAGATCCAGGAAACTTGCCACTTCCAGATAAGTCTTTAAAGAAATTCCTGAAAGCATGTTCTATTTTTCGCAACTCGCGTTTAAAAATAGCTGCTAGTCTTTGGTTCTTGGGTGGGTTTTAGGCACTGCAAACTGCTTCTAGCCGACTTGGGGTAAACATATATATACATACATATATAGAGTCACTAATCTGAACGGTAGCACAACTCCGAGCCGTGTGCCTGCGCAGTATGGAAATCTCTTGTTTACTCCGTCTATATGGCGGTTCTATTAGCGCACGGAGGAGAGTACATCACATCACATGATCACGATGCCCACTTAGCACATGTCGAGGTGCCAGATCGCAGGGTGACAGAGATTGTAGGTCCGAAAAAGCTCCCAAAATTTGTACTAAATTATATTACTTAATATACATATAAAGAGAGAGGTAGGTCAGCATCTTCTAGTTTGTTTTCAAACATAATTTTCAGATATACTCATTCCAAAAATAATCTTCGAAAATACATACATCATCTCTTAATATATCCCCGCGCGTTTTCCCAGAGGGTCTAAGTGGGTCTAACAGACAATTAACAAGTTTTCGTAGCATTTCGCTTACGTTCAAGGCGTTAAACTCAACAATACACAATACAAAGTGAAACATTACAATAACAGCGAAAATATTTACTTAATAAATACAGGCGAAAAAAATTTTGGAATACGGTAGCAGCTTTGTTTGATTTCAAGTGGTAAAACGACAAATATTTAAATTCGTTTTGGTATTGAGGCCCATACTCTGTCGCATAAATATCGAAAATCATAGCTGACAGAATCGACACCCTTTCTGCGAGTGACTCGCTGGCAATTATCACTGATTAGCATGGGTAAAATTTATTAAATAAACAAAATATACCAAATTTCAGACTTGTATTTTACTCGGAAGATGGAGTTTTACTTATATAAATCGATATATTAATGTTGCGATAATTATTCTGTTTAATTTAAATTTAATTTTTTTGCCTTTATTATTATAAAATGCAATTAATTTCGATTCTTCAAAATTCGAATTATCAAACTACTGTATTTTCAATATATTATCATCCCTAGTTGCGTGTTTTTATTAAATTTTAATTGAAAAGTTTGCCTCAAAACATTTTTCAGTTGACTTTTGTGACCATCGGAGCAATTGGCTTGCTATTTTGATGAAAACAATAAAACCGCGTTGGGTAAGAAACGCTTGCGACATTCTGGGGAATAAACCCCTCTAAGTACTCTAGTTCCACTTGAATTTTTACACAACTCAAAAAAATGCCAGGGTATAATTAAATTTAAGCCAATTTGGGCTTATTGTTCAACCCGTTCTCACTCAAGCACTCAAAACCCGTTTATCAATTCCGCAATGGAAATAAATCTAAATAAATCTACTTATGAATCCCCACCATGACAGCGACTGTCGATTCTCATTGAGATTGCCGGATGATAACTACTGGCCAAGAGCCTAAATGAGATCTGGAGGAGAGATGACAAGAGGAAATATGGGGGAATATATAGAGACAAGATCTAAGAGCGTTTCGTTTGTGTTATATATACGATTGATAAACAGAACCTTTTTATAGCCAGCCGCCTCCGTTGGTGTGATAAGAATTTTTAAATTGGGGGCCAAAAAACCTGCCCGGTTCCCTTCCTCGCTGCTTGGGGTTGAGCAACAAAGGTATCGTCGCCCTGTTTTGAATGTTGATAATGCTGAGGAAGTGTTTCTGCTACCTTGGCAGTTTACGGCCCCAAATAACCACATATTCTGCGTGTGATCCTCATCAGAGTTAGGAATTAAGAGGGGTATATAGTTTACTAAGAGAACAACGGAAAGCCTGGTAAGCCAAGTGCCCATGCCTTGCACCCATTTAGACCATTTATAATAACCATAAAACCAATCAGTTCGGTTTGATTTTGCTGCGGCGATAAGTAACTTTGCGTTTCATATGAAAAGCTTACCACAGACTAACTATATGGCCCACATATGGCCTAACCCAGAATAGGATTTAGTATGTTTATTAATAAATCAACTAGACACAGTCTGTGAGAGCTGTAAAGCCGACTGATAAGAGCTTGTATTACACTATATTACAAACACGCTCCTCTAGTTATTTTTACCTTATTAAGATCGTGATAAATAGGGAAATATATTTCACAGCACTTCTACCCGCCATGGCGATGATTTTTTGTATATTTTAAATATTTATATCCAAGACGAAAACTGTTTATCCGAGCGGAGCCGTTTTTCATTCAGAATATTCCATTGTCATCGTTCGCGCACAGGTAGGCTAAATATACGGATGGAATTGTTTTGGCTTTGCCATTTGCTCTCTATGCTAAATACATAATCAAAAAATAGAAAAAATTTGTTTTTGCGCGCCACGCCGCTTAATCGCTCCACGCATCCGCGTATCTATCCGCGCTGTGCTACTTTTCTCGCGTTTGAAGTTGAAATGCGGCGCGAACGCGAACGCGAATCGCTGGTGGCCGCCGCTGGCGCTTCTTCTTGGCATTATTTTTGTGAGATCTCCAGCGTGAAATCAGCTGGCGGCCCCCGCGAGAGGCTCTATAGGTTTATCAATAGCTCTCGCTCTCCGCCTGATTTTGGGGGCTCGTTCCGGCCGGAGCAGCTGTTGTTTTCGGTTTGAAGGGTGTAAGGCTAATGATTTACGATCAGTGTCAGGGTCGAGCCGCGTGGGAGGAACATCTGCTTACTACATACATATATCTTCACATATTCGAAATACTGCTAATGAATCACCCACTCACTACCTGGTTCATTGGCATACAAATTGCCTGTTAATAGTGGTCACACCATTCCGAGCCATCTAATGGCCCCGGTCAGGTGCGGAATAAAAGTAGTTAACATCAAATGCTTTTTAGGTACATCGCTACTATGTATTCTGTATTTTGTACACCGAATTTACATCAATAACTAGGGGATATAGTTAACACAAACCGTTCACTAGACCGTGTGTATATATAGTATGTTTGACTAAAAATTGCGTGCTCTCTATGTTTGATAACAATGAATATTTGGTGCTCTTGTGCCTCCTGAGCTCTGAGCTTCTTTGGACCGGTTGAAAATGATATACATATATATATTTATATATATGTGCTATGTTAGAATAAGATATTTCCTATGAAACTTTGTAAGCTTTCGCCGCGAGGCCTTGAAGGTACATTTTGCAGCCTGCATCCTGTTGCCTTAACTATTCTACGTCTTAGTCCACATCGCCAACGGAGGCATCACCCGCCGCCGCAGCCTCGTCGTTGGTTACTGCTCCACTGGTATTGTGGATTTTCTCATTGGTCTCGGCCTGCTTCTGGCGCTCGTAGTCGCGCACATCCTCCAGGGTCATGCCATGCCACTCATCCAACCAGGCAAAGGCCTGCCGGTGGCCCAACAGCAGGATTTCCCGAATGCCGCGCTGGATAAAGTCTTCTACCTTGGTCTGCAGGCCCCAGACCTCGAAGGTGGCATGGACCACTTTATAGGAGCACATAATGGGCTTGTCAGTATCCCGCCAGCCCTCAATAAGGGGGCCGCGATCTGTGCGATAGAAATCAATTTAATGTAGCTCCATCTCCTCGATAAATCCAAGACTCTTACTTGTCTTTATTGATTTGTAGAACTTAGGATCTTCTTCCTGCTTGTAATGCTTGGGACTGAGGTCATCAAATGCAATGTCCAAATGATCCACGGTGCGTGTCTTCAGCTCCTCCTCTGACAAGTCCAGACACTATCAATCAAGAGCATTATTAATCACTGTCATAATAACTTTTAGGGACCTTGAACTTTGTTCTTACATTCTCGGTGCTGCCGTTGTTGTCCTCGTACTTTGTTTTGATGAGCACATTTAACTTGGGTATGAAGGAGCACTGTAAATTGAGGATAATTGGTTAGCAAAGGACAACCGAAATAGAAGCCATACCAATTACCGTGTATTCTGGATCAGGGTTTTTCGTTCCAGCCAATTATAGACCCGATTGTGGCGCATGAAATTATAATACAGAAATCCAAAAATAAATCAATAAACTAACCATACTAGCCGTACTCATCAAATATAATTCAAGCGTGCCTAATGTGTTATTTTTAGACTAAAAGTGATTAAAAATACGTTAGTTATGGATTAAAAATATCGTTAACATCCATTTGCGTTCTTATGTTATTAAACCTAAGCCAAACATGGACTTTTGGTCTTTGTTTAGAACCTATTTATTATCTTTGATATGATATCTAAAAGCATTTATGAACCAGTATAACTTTTGTTAGTTCTTCAATATGACAAGTTAACTCTTCACTAAGAATTTATCCCTTACATATCTTAATTCAATATACAATACAATTCAAATTGCCAGGATACCATAGGGCTTTGTGAGCTTCAATTAATCGCAACCAAAACAGCTGCTGGTAATGGTAACACACCACTCCTCCACTCAGATAGGTAAATAAACCAGCTTGTTGTAATGGATCCCTAGCCTAAAAGTCAACGACCCAAAGCCTAAACACGCAAACAGCGATTCCCTTGAAGTGCATATAGCAACCTTATCGTTAGAGTGCAGTTGGACAGCGCGTAAACAGAATTTATCGGCCAGGAGAAGGCTCTGGGAGTTGCGACAGTTGTGTTAAACAATTGCCGAACGCTGATTTAGGAGCTTGTGCTGGGTCTGTTCCGGTGGTGATACCGATACGGATGACGTATCACAGGTTCGGCAGGTGTGTGTGTTATGGTTAATGGGCCTTTATCGGCAGACGTACCCCCACCACTATGCTGGCCGGTCGGTCGGTTAAATGATAACGCGGAATTCCTGCTGGCCCGCGAAAAGAACACATGATGTGTTCTCGGGGAATGCTGCCATATGGCCGGAAAAGAGCCAAAGACGTTAAGGAATCTCAACCTCCGGAATGCATAATTAAGTGGGTTTAAAAATAGCCTCCCCCTTGGGGGATGAAGTGGCGGGGGATGCGCAGTGGCCACTGCTCAGTGGTGCTCGCTCACCTGTTAGCGTGTAGGGATAGTAGTTCCAGGACTTCTCAATCACGTAGAAAACGCGCGGGCAGATGGCCTGTATCCAGTAGGGGAGCCGGCTGACGTAAATGAAAGGCGAAATGCAAAATCGTGTCTTTAATGAGCTATCCGGAAACTGCGCAGGATCTTCTAAGAAGGGGCTTCCAACCTGGACAAGTGAATGTGCTTTTCCGTGTACTGGCCCTTGCCGTGGACGGGGTCCTCGCACGGACGGTTCTCCACCACCTCGACGCCCTCGCCTTCCTCCGACTGTTCCAGGCTGTGACGCGCAATCATGTAAAGCTGCCCGATCTTGTACTGCAAAAAGATGACATAAAAGCTCAAAGTCGAGTTCTCTCCGGTGGGGCAATGGCTACTCACTTCCTCCACGGTCAGCGGCATGCACACACGATACTCCTTGGTCAGCACCATTGCGTCGGTGGAAGCGGTTCGCGTAGAAAATCAAATATCAAAAGTTACGCAAAGCGAGGCGCACACGAGAAGTGACGGAAAACCAACAACAAGTACACTCAATGCGGCCGTTGGTCGACGCTACAAATATACCACGATAAATAGTGGTATTTTTCTGATGTTTTTATTGTCCAGGCTGCAGTCACACTATAAACCATTGATAAGACATTTTTGGTTAGCAAAGTTCAGAACCTTTCATCTAAGTATTATTTTTTATTGTTTTCTAACATATTAATTTATTTAATACTGCATTATATTATTTTTTATCCTTTTCAAGAGTTTCTTTTATTTAAACTGCATTCATTCATTACTTTAAAAACTGATTGTAAAAAGGCGGAAATTATCGATGGCCTTCAATGCTATCGATGTTTTGCCTAACTATCAAGCACGATGCTATCGGTGTAATCGATAGCGTTATCGGTTGTCTTTCACCTCTATATGACTTGCACGTGCACTCTCACTCTTTCATTTAAAATTTTCTTCTGAAGTGGACGGTTGTGTTTGCCAGTGTTTCAACAATATCAAAAGGTAATATAAAGTTAAATTAACATTTTTAAAGATAGCCGATTGCTTTCCATGATGCTTATTTAATACCGCCCCAGTCTGAAGAGACGTGTTGATTGGTTTTCAATTCTGATACCCAAAAGCCACGTGTGGTCCCGCTGTATTTGGTGATTAAGTTGCAAACTAACTCATTTTGTGCTTTTAAATTGCAGAATACTGTGCTTTATCAATGATTATGGACAATATAATAACCTGGAAAGTGAAATCCCCGGTTGATGGGCCGATGTTGGATGAATTCTGTGGGCGACACGTGTCGGAACAAAGTAAGGTTAGTTTCGGTCGGCATTTTCTTTCGAATTTGTTGCTTCTGTGATGCCAAACATATACCGCCCCAGTCGGAATAACTTTGTCGATTGGTTTTATATACTGATGCCTCCATCAAGCAATGGATTTAGAGAGCCTCAGATCTATGTGTTCATTAACCCAAGTTTTTTGAATTGCAGATTCCCTGAAGGAACGTTTAACTCGTGGTCTAACTAAGGAAAACCCGGTTGGTGGCCTTTGAGGCCATTACAGATGTATTTCCTCAAAAAGGTAAGCATCGTGAAATGGATTCTTTATTATATAAAGTCCTTTGAATGATGAAACATTTACCCAGCTCGCTTTGATATACTATGAAGAAAACTGTTCCATATCCAACGCAAAAAATGAATTGCTGACTTATTTGTTAATCTTCGAAAGTTCTTTGTGTTATTTGCCAAAATTAATTATATTTCCTTTCATTTATTTTCAGAAATAATGGATACCTTTTTGCTTACGGAACACAGAAGGTAATTAGTACTAAAACTTAATATAAAAATCACTATATGTAATATGATGAAACACTTACCCAGCTCGCTTTGATATTTTATGAAGAAAACTGTTCCATATCCAACGCAAAACATGAATTGCTGATTAAAATCTTAAACATATAGTTTTAAGTCTACTCAAGAATATATTTTAAAGTCATTTTCTTTATTTACAGACGTAAAAGAGAACCCAAAGCAAGGAGGTTATGAACTAAATGGAACTCGGCTCAGTTAGGTGTGTATTTTAATGATTATATAAACAAAAACCCATAACAAAACTTGAATATGATGAACGATTATTATTTGCTACTCTTGAAAAGTTTTGATGACAACCTTCACCTTTAAACTGAGGCATACATTTAAAAATTGAAATGCAACAATAGTTTAGAAACATTCTAATAATTATATTTTTCTTTGCTTTGCAGATTGATTAACAAAACAAGTGGGGAAAATGAGAAGGCTGGTCAATCAGGTAAATAAATCTCATTATAATACGTTTAAAATCACAACCTTAAAATGATGAAACATTTACCCAGCTCGCTTTGATATACTATGAAGAAAACTGTTCCATATCCAACGCAAAACATAAATTGCTGATAAATTACTTAGACACATCATTTTAAGTGTACTCAAACATATGCATTAAAAGCATTTTCTTTATATTTGCAGAGATAATTGCCAGCAGAATCAGCCGAGTTAAAAACTGAACGGATCTTGTCTAAGGTAAGTGTTTGTTTATAACAATCTTAATTCTTTTTAAATCTGAATATGATGAACGATTATTATTTGCTACTCTTGAAAAGTTTTGATGACAACTTTCACCTTTGTAACTGAAGCACAGATTAAAAATTGGAAAAGAAGCCCAAAAGAACAGGAATACATTTTAATAATTGTTTTTCTATTATTTTTTCAGACAAATGAGCTTAAAAAGAGATGAGATTAAACGGCTGTTCAGTGCTAAAAGGTAATTATTATTTTTGTATAAATTAAGTAACCACCATTAAAATGATGAAACATTTACCCAGCTCGCTTTGATATTTTATGAAGAAAACTGTTCCATATCCAACGCAAAACATGAATTGCTGATTTATATTCATCAAATAACATTTTATAATCCTTGCAAAGTGTTTTATAGAGAATTCTTGCTTATTATATTTACAGAAAGCATTAATGGGCGCTTGCAGACATCTTGATGCCTTTATCGTTCAAAATGGTAAGTTTTGTTTTTAATTTTTAAATAAACTATGTATTTTCTATGATGACAAACCAATAGACAAGCATATAACCGAATAATCATGTTGATTTTCACAAGACTGACTTCGGAAAATACATACAGCTTTTGAATATTTTCGAAAACATATTTTAAAGTACCACTTTTTCAGGATTTAACTGACGATGGAAAAAAACGTTTAAAATCCTGCTCCTATAATGGTAAGCATAAAAAAATGCAAGGCCTTCGTATATGCAATGATGAACACCTTATTTAAAGCCAAACAGTTATCCCTGTCATAAGAATAATTGATGATATAACAAGCTGATTGCATATATGAAACTTTATATATAGTCAATGTTTCAGACCTTTAATTGTTTTTCTATTTCTTTATAGGAGGAATAAGTCGTTGAATTATCCCTAATGTCATGAGAAGTTCTGCTGAGATAAGGTAAAAAGCCAGTTATGAGTAAAAATTCGTCAAGTATTCTGTTTCATGATGAACACCTTTATTTAAGCCAAACAGTTATCCCTGTCATAAGAATAATTGATGATAAAATAAGCTGACATTAAAGTTTTTTTTATTAATATTTTATTTTATGTGCTTGACTAATAAGTTATTTATTTACTTACAGATCTGCTGGTACCAAGTATCTCAGAGGGGATGGCTTGCTCCACAAAAGGTGTGTTTACTCTCTATTTAAATAGTTTTTGGTTATTTCATGATGTTTTCTTATACCGCCCCAGTCGGAAAAATTATGTCGATTGGTTTTTAATTGCTGATTAATTATTTTCAATTTTATATTCAGCTTATTTTGATGTTATATCTATAATGGTTTTATTTATTTATTTTAGATAACACGCAAACACCAGGAATTTGGAAAGTGTTACGTCTTGAGGAGTAAAGGTAGGTTTACTAGTGTTTATATTATTTTTAAATGTATATTGTGATGTTCTTGAATACCGCCCCAGTCGGAGAAATGATGTCGATTGGTTATTATTTGCTGATAATTTACATTTACATCTGATATATTTAATTCCTTTGAGGATATACTTAATAATACGTTTTTTTTTTTTTTTACAGATTTCTGAATCGGAAAAGGCGAAGTAGAAGGTTTTCAAAATTATCAGCATTAGGAAAGGTAAGGCTTTTATTTGTTCTATTATAATTTCAGTCAGAAGCATAAAAAGCAGTGAAGGAGTCATTTCCAACCCTATAAATCATATATATTCTTGATCAGCATGAACAGCAGAATCGATCTAGCTATATTTGGTAGAAACTTAAAAAAAAAATTTTTTTTCGAAATTTTATCATTAAATTTTATATTGTTAAATTTTAAAAATTTGACAAAAATTGAATTAAAAAAAAATTAAAAATTTAGTATGCAGATTTGTTAACCCTATAAAAACTAGCACAGAACAACTTTCCGAATTGAAATTAATGCATTTTTGGCTTAGCTATGATCTTTTTAAACTTTGATTTTTTGAACAAATTGTCATCAAAAATATCGACTAAAAAATTGGTATTATACTTTTAGTTAGAAGCTTGTAACGCTGTGAAGGAGTCATTTCCGGCCCTATAAAGCATATATATTCTTGATCAGCATGAACAGCAGAATCGATCTAGCTATATTTGGTAGAAACTTTTTTGAATTTTTTTTTTTCGAAATTTTATCATTAAATTTTATATTGTTAAATTTTAAAAATTTGACAAAAATTGAATTTAAAAAAAAATTAAAAAGTAATATGCAGATTTATTAACCCTATAAAAAGTAGCACAGAACAACTTTCTGAATTGAAATTAATGCATTTTAAGGTTAGTTATGATTGATTTTACATTTGAACCTATGATCCTATTGGTAACTGCAAGGGTATACACACTTCGTCTCCTCGAAGTTATGTTTCTTTACTGCTTATAATATATTAAAACTAAAATGATGCTTATGTATACCGCCCCAGTCGGAGAAATTATGTCGATTGGTTATTTAATACTGATAAATTATGTTATAATACTTTATATTTTTGTTATCAAAAATTATATATTAAAACAAATTTCCTCTTGTATATTCAGGTATCTTCCGGATGCTATCCTCTCTATTTAAGGTATGTATATTATTTATTTTTAGAATCTTTGATAATTTTATCTGATGACAAACCAATAGACAAGCATATAACTGAATTTAAATGTGTTGTTAACTTTTAATGACTGAATTTACTATAATTTCTGAAGAAATTCATAGTATTTTTTGATGTATTCTAATTAATATCAATCTCTGTTTTTGTAGGTATGATCCCACATGGTTTCAATTTGCAAAATATACAGGCTTTACTGAACTATACAAGGTAAGTGAGGATCTGTAACGAATATAATTAAAATCTCTATGATGAACACCTTTATTTAAGCCAAACAGTTATCCCTGTCATAAAAACAATTGATGATATACTAAGCTGACATAGTCAACTTGTTTTTATGATTTCTTCAAACTGGACATTATTAATTATGTGTTATTTACTTACAGATGGAATATTTAGAAGACACGTTTTTCAAGCAAATCATAGAAGAAGTAAGCAAGTTTTGTTCACCTTGACTATCATCATTTCCATATCATGGCATGTGAAGACATTAACAGCAATTAAGCTGAATTTCCCTGTAGATACCACAGGTCGACAGCATCTTGGAACCAAAAACAAAAATGTACTTTTCCGAAGGTTCTCGACGCGCGCAACTCGATTCTGGTCGGATTTCGAGATATTTAAACTTCAAAGATTAACATTGCCGTTGTGGGTATATATGTGGTGCTATAACTTGAACAATATATGAATCTGTACGCTGTCTTAACGTAATGTTATTGCCCTTTAATATGAGTTTGTAAAATTGGAAAACATTTTTTATCTCCGATATTACGGTGACAAAAAAGATTTTTAAACATTGTAAAAACTAATTTTAAAGGACAAGAACAGTTCTTTATGATATTGTAACTATTCTTTTACATAACACAACGTATTACAAAACCGTCAATGTACCTAAAACCACAATTTTTGCGCTTAAAGTTTCAATATCTCAAAAACCTGACGTATATGATTTTTTTTAGAGCGGAATCGAGTTCTTGGCATTGTAAACTATTGGAAAAGTATATTTCGGTTCTTGGTTCAGCTTTTTTTTTCTTTTTGTCGGCCTGTGCAATACACACTCATCTGATCCGTCATTTCCACTTCAAAAGAAGTGATTAATCATTCCAAAGACTGCGGTACTTATTTCTTTCTTATCTTTTATTGCAGACGAACTCAACAAATAATGCCTAAATAAAACTGATGTAACCATACCGCTAAATAAAATAAAAACACAGATTTTATTTTAATATAACGTGATATATTTTATTTCATAGACATTCAATCGCTTCGGTTAGCTGGGAGATACTTTAATGCTTTCTGTGGCCCAGCTCAGTGGGCTCTACATATATAAGAATATTCAATTTGTAAATGTTGAGTCCTATATGTGTGTATATATATGTAAACATGTAAATATATATACGTTACATATGTATTTGCTTGGCTTTATCTTTGTAAATATTCCATATATATATATATAAGTATATATAATAATATATAGTTATCGTATGCATGGCTTAGGGGCGGGGGGTTATACACTTTCAAAAAACCCAATTGCTTTTTCGCACAACAAAATCAAATCGTTTACCAAATGCCCAGAGAAGGTCTCTGGGTCTGCAACCGATGCTAACTTGTGATCCTCTCGACTCCAAAGGTTCTGATTAGGGATGTATGTTGAAGGGAATAGTCCGATATGATATATCAGCCAAAATATTGTTCGTATCGTATCATATCGAATTATATTGTTTCTTTTGATAAGTTGATATTGAAAATATCTGAAAAATGTTACTCAATTTATTTGTCCCTTTCCGATTATATTGGTCCGATATATCAGACAGAATATCGAATTATATCCCTAATTCTGATCTTGAGGAGTTTTTATGGGGGTTGCGTGCGGTTTTGCACACTGAAACATTTAATGGAAAGCACAACTAGATAATGCCTTGGGTAATATTGTTTACAGATCTCTAGAGTCTCTAGTTAGGATATCGTCGATATAAAAGGTTCATTGCTACCAGACAACATTTATAAAGGTTTTCTGTTCTCGAATTATTTGATTTGCTCCTTAGATCGTTACAAACTATATATTCATATATATATATATATATATATTGTAGAGTAGCTCTAATCAAATGAGGTGTGTGTGCTCCCCGCTTTGGAGTGGGACAACTAAGGCCAAATACAGTCATTTTTTAACATCAATGACGATTTACATCGAACTGAAGTATGATTCTAGTGCGAGAGGGGAGAGAGTAAGGGGGTGTTACAAATATATATCAATTCCGTGCGGGAGTCTGAATGGTAGATACATATATTGGGTCGAATCTGAATCAAATGTATTGCGGCTACTCTCTTTTCGTTTCTCCAATCACTTTCCTCTTTTTGTTTGGGGTTTCGTTTATTACAATTACTCAATAGATGTTTTTAAAAAAACAATAAGGAATCAACAATATTCATAAAATGTATCATTATAGAATATATGGTAAATGTAAGTCTAAAAACTACATATAATATGCGTACAAGTCTAGGTTGGTATGAAATAAATAAGTTTCGTATGCGTGTTGTGTTGTGAATAATGGAAGGAGGATATCCAGGTTTACTGGCCAATGTGCTTCTTGATCAGCGCCTGCAGCAGCCGGACCTTGGCCTTCTTCTCCTTGTACTGGGCATAAGTTTCCGTCTCCAGCGACCGGCGATCTTGCTTCAGCATCTTGCGACCGTTCTGCTCCTCGAACAGCGACTCGTACTCCCTAATGGTGGCCTTCAGCAGGGCCTTCTCGTCCCGCACGCGATCCAGCTGCTCCCACAGTTGTTCCAGACTCAGCGACGAGATATTCTCGCTGGCCGCCGCCGATTCCAAAGGCGAGGCAGCCACTCCGACCGCCGGACCAGTCAATGTGGTGGTGGTCGTCGACTCATCGGAGGAAGCATTCTGTGTAAGAGTATTTGGCGCATTCGAGTCGCTGGGCGAGTTGGTGGTCTCGGTGCTGTTGTTCGATGAATACTGCAGTGGCGTGGAAGTGGCCTCAAACACCATGGCCTCATGCTCCAGAATTGTTGGAAGCTCTGGCACCCCTGTGCCCGCACCGAACATCACTGTGCGGGCAACCAAACGCTTCAGCTGCCGATAGCGATCATAGAGCGGTCGGGCGGCATCGCGTTCCTCTTTGGTGATGGGATGACCGTACAGACTCTCAAAGTAGAGCAGACCATGCTGCACGGCACTCTTCTCCTGCACCAGCTGGTCGGCATTCAGATCCTCCAGCTGCTCGGAGCGATGACCATTCAAGCGCTTCTCGTTGAGGTTCTGCAAAAGGAGGAGACAAGTGGTAAGTAATTTGTTGATAATTAAATTCAAGTTCAGAATAAATGTACTGAAGCCTATTTATCTATTCCAGAAAATGTGTCGCTCCATTATGATAAAAACCACAATAAATGCAACAGAAGCTCCTACAAAAAATGAACTGATAAAGACCACCCACATCGGTAAACAACACAATTAATCAGCTTTGTGGGCATTACCCGTTTCTTGATTTGTTTATGAGTCTCCTCGGCCCTGACAATGACAGGTCGGCGACAACAGCAGACAATTCCGAAGCTGCCAGAGCCGCAGGAACAGAAATAGAAACACAAGTGCGGCATACATAAACCGTATTGTAAACAAATAATAATAGGTTACAGTATAGCAATAATATATGGCATGGCACTTGGATGGCTGCTTCTTTGCCTCTTTGGCCTCTTTGGCCATTTCCCATTTCCACAGGGAGGAAAAATCATTTCGCGCACACTTTGTTTTCTTGGCAGAAATTCAATTTCAATTTCGAGTGGATTCCTTTTGGGCCGCCAGAGAGTGTTTGTCTGCGGCGATTGTCTATGACAAATGTATCATTAATTTGTCAATATATATATCTATAGAGAGGAGGCCTGTCTAGATGCCATAAATACATGCAGTATATGAAGATATATAAATAGAAATCTCATTATAATCGCCCAATTTGGAATGTGGGAATTGATTTTGTTGGACATGAGCTAAGGAAGCCATAAAGGTTACTATAATACATTTATGTAAATTATTTTGGTTGATTGATGGGGCTAGAAAAATGTCTTAAGTTGATATTAATACTTAATTGAAAATGAAATAAGGTATATGTTTTGTAAATATACATTTTGTTGACCTATTTCTATACCTTTTATCCCATATTCCCATTTAAAATTTTCCTAAATATTGTCATCATGTTTTTTTCTTGCCAAAACAAAATACATGTTTACCGCCTCTTCTGACAATGGGGCAAGATCAAAGTTATTGCCAAATTGCGGCTGTCGTGGCCATCATCCTATCCCCCTCTATATGTAAACATATATTCTCTGACGTCTGCGTTCCACTCGCTAATTGTCATAAATATGTGTCTCGTGATTTTCAGCTCTGATTTTGCAAAGAAAAAAAGGAATAGACCCGATATATTACCTGCTCGATTTCAGCAAGGGTGGCCTTCATGCGCTCCAGCTTCTTGGCCACTTCCTGGCCAGCAATGCTCCCGCCGACGCCTCCGCTGCCCACCTTGAGGCCCAGTGCCGCGATGGGATCAGTCTTGAGCTCATGCCGTTCCTTGCGCAGCTTGCTCAACTCCGCCAGAGCGTTCTTCATGTACTTGTCGTTCAGTCGCTCCGCCTGCGATGGCCTGTAGCCCAGACGCTGCTCCAGCGACTCCTCCAGCTGCACCAGCTTCTTCTTCAGCACTGTCACCCGGCGATTAATGGACTTGAGGCGCTCATCGGGCGTCTGGAAGGCAACCATCATGGCGGGCAGCACCTGCTGCATCACATCCCGGGTGCGCATATTCTCCAGCGAACTGAACGCACGCACTGCATCCATGGGCTCCATGTCCATGTCACCGATGTCGGCATGAAGCTGAACTGTGGCCGCCTGCTTGGGCAGTTGCTGGGGATACGGCATGGCCTTGGCAAGCTGAGCAGCTGCATCGAGGTTTCCACCGATGTGGGGGCGAGAGTGGGCATAGCGACGGCTCAGGATGGGAGCCGGTTCATCTCCTCGCTCCCAGGGCAGCGATTCCTGGGCTGATGTGAGATCCAGGCTCTGCTGCTGCCGCTGGGGCTTGGCCTTGATGGGCGCCGGGGCGGCGTTGGAAGTGGGCGTGCTGTCGTCGCTGCCCGCCGAGGAGCTGGTGGTGGGCGTGGGTGAGATGCTGGCGCTCCTCTTGGTCTGCAGCTCCTTTTGCTGCTGATGGAAGTCTATCAAATTGTTGTCGTTGTGATCCTGCTGCTGCTGCTGTTGCTGCTGCTGCTGTTGCTGCTGCTGCTGTTGTTGCTGTTTCCTGCTGCTGATGAAACCTCGGCGTTCGTACTTTAGGGCCGACAGATCGTACTTGTAGGCGCTCTGCTCATCCCGCCGCGAGGGCAGGTACTTGGAGCCACTGCCTCCGGCCCCGCTGCCCTTCTTGGCCACACCGGACTTGCGCACCGGCGGCTGGCGGGACTTGCAGAAGCGCTCGCTGCTGCGACGCCGCTCGTGCTCGCACTCGGAGTCATCGCTGGTCTCCTTGGCCAGCGGCTGACGCGCTGGACTGGTCTCCAGGCGGGGTCGCTCCTTGGCCGCCTCTCCCGTTGGCAAGTTGGCCAGTGAGGCATTATTTTCCCCCAGCTCCGAGGCCTCTTCCTGCTCGCGCTCGAACTCCTGCCGGTAGCTGGCATAGCTGGCCGTGCGCTTAAAATCCTCGGAGGAAACGCGACGGATGGCATCGCACTGGGCCTCCAGGAGATGGGCGGCGGCGGCAGCGGTCTGGCAGCCAGTGGCCGCTGTTGCCACAATGGCCACCGGTCCGCCGTCTGTGAGCAGCTCCTCGCTGTTGCTGCGCTGTAGCTTGCGATCCTGGCCAAAGGCCGAGCTGCTGTCCAAACGCTCCTTGCGCTTGCGCGATGACTTCTGCCATTCCAGTGCCGGATGTATGATCTCGGGCAGGTAGGTGGAGTTGAAGCCACTATTCAGATGGCTCTTGAGGGGCTCACCAGGACCTGCCAGGGCTGGCATGGGCTTCTCCGGGCTCCGAACCCCCTCATTGCGGGCTGCAGTGGCTGCGGACGACGAGGATGAGGAGGAGGACGATGACGAGGCTGCGCTGCCGCACGAGGCCGTCGACGATGATGAACCAGTGAGACGACTCAAGTCGTCTTCGTTCAGCCCAGTTGTGGGATGGCGCATGCCGCACTGCAAGGATGGAGAGAAGGGTAAGGGAGAACATGAGAATCACTTAGATATAGATAGAATAATCAATCGGCGATGCCGTGACAGACTTGTAGCTAAAATTATAAGCAATTAAAGCTGCCGATAAATGTCATTTCCCCGGCTACAATTAAGTGGGTTAATAAGTGTCGAGTGCTCAACGTGTCGTATGAGTAATATTCCATTCAATACATTTATTTGTGCCATGTCATGACCCATCAACAAAGTTCAGCGGCGTTTCAGTAATAGTTCAACGAAATCTCTGATCTCATATAAGGTTTAACTACCAAGTTTATAAATATTTTAAGTCTAAACCAAGTGGGGCTTGAAGGTATTAAAAATAATTAGGAAATCTGAAGTCACTTTAAAATTTTATAAACACATGATGAAATTATATTATACACATTAATGATTTGATGAAATATAAATTCAAGCAATAAAATCAAAGAAAATTGAAGAAGTTCGTTAAATAAATTTATTACATAAGCATTATTAAGGTAAAAACATTATATTATTTAAATTCTTGCAAGTCTTTGGTAAATTAAAGGGTCTTATGATGAAATACGGGACTGTTAAACGATTTAATAAATGAACGAAATAATTATAAGATAAAAAAACCGATATGATATATATTTATATATCTAAAAGGTATAAAGTGATTCGTTGACTTCAAGATATTAAAAACTCAAAGTCTCTTATATAATTTATTAATATAACCAATTAATTATCCCTCTCCCTAATAATATTATTAAACCTTTAGAGTAAAAATATTTACCAAAATATAAGTTATAAGCCTCGGAGTCATTCTGCTTTGCTGTTAATCTCTAATTTAATCAGTCTAACTAGATTTATTATCACAATGAATTCACTTCAGTTCACTTTCGTGTTGATTTTTGATCACAGGGTCTCTTGATTTGAATACAGAGACGTTTTTGTTGTTGGGCAAATAAAAATGTCAACGCCTTAAATCTTGCTTAATAAATTTCAATAAAAGAGTAATTGAAATTTTCTTTTCACATTTGCTGTTTTTTCTCAAGAGCTTTTTTTTCTTGTTTTCCTTTTCCAGCAGTTCACATGTTTCGGTATCTTGATTATTTTTACAAGATTTTTGCCCCGTTTGGCACGAATATTAATTATTTTCAATCTGCTTTCTGCTTTTTGGTTTGTCGAGGTTCTTCCGCTTGATATTATTGTGGCTTTTCCTCGGACACAGCCGAGCAAAGTGTTTGTGGAGGAGGAGAACGGAGAACGACGCTGGCGTTGCTTTCTTTGGGCGCACCGAATCACTATTAAACCCATTTCTGCTCCGACCTCGCGAATTATATAGAGAATTATATGCGGGAAAGCGAGAGCGGGCGAGAGAGTGCGCCTGCGCTGTAGAGCATTCCCGATCAATCGGAGCAAGTGGCTCCTCCTCCTCCTCGTCTTCGCGAAAAGGTGCGAAAAAGCTTCGGTAAACAAAACTTCGGATCCAGAACTGGCTGGAGACACTTGCAATCTGTTTTCCTTATCGATAGTAGTAGGATCTGTATAATCAGAGTGTGATATTTGCCCAAAAAGGTGATACGCACGCGGAGGGTTGGGTTTATAAATAAATCTGGCCCGCAGAAATTAGCAACAAGCCGGTAGACTTTATGGCCATATTAATAAGGCGAATTAATTTATGCACTTGTTTGTCTTTCAGCCCCTGCAACACGCGAATGGGATCATCAAGAATCGTTTCGGAAAACCGAGGCCAAAGACAGGTAACACCGGCAACAGGTAACAGTTAACGGGAAGCAAATACCAAAATATGCACGGGGCAAAAATTCAAGTGCAATGTCACGACGTGTGTAAAAATAACAATTAAAGCTACGAGAGAGAGAGAGAGAGCTCCGTATGAGTCACATTCTCTAGGTTAACCGAATATATCGGAGCATCTCCGGTCAACTGCCTGACCAGATCTCAGATCCCAAACGAGACGAACTAATTAAGAGACGCACGCGCCCTACAGTGACGTCAATCGATAACGACGTGATCGAGAACAGCAACAAAAACTTATATATATACAAAATATATAGGCTGAAATCCTTCAATTTAAATTATATTTGGTGGTAAATTATATTTTGTGAAGCCGAAACAGTAAAAATTTAGTTTATTTGAGAGACTGAATTAAAAAACTTTAGTAGTAAATACAAAAGATATATCTCAAGCCCTTAAATCGTCAAATATTTAAACAATAAATAACTATATAATACCAAAAAACAAATAAATCAAAGAAAATGTTTTACAAAACCAAGCGTCCTTGAGTTTTCTCAAGATTTCTGCGCAGTTTTTATGCCTGAGCAAGAGAAATGTCTAAAGAAAATAAAGCAAACATTTAATATTTGTCAACATATCAGTCGACATATACATTTATTTTTCCCCATTTGAAAACACAATGAAAGCTAATACACATATAAATATTTATTTAGAAAATTCCAGCTGAAGAAGGCGCGTGCAAAGCATTTCTCCCACCTTAAGACCGCGGTCTCAGGCTTTATCAAATTAATTAGACTCCAACGGAAAGGGGAATTTGTTTTAGGGATTTCCACTGGCAGACAGATAGCGACACTCGAAAGCCTTTTTATGATGGATAATGAATTGGACTTCAATCGAATTTGTATTTTTGTTTACTCACGAATCAAGGGAAATCGAACCACCTTTCGATGGGCAAAAAACTATATATGGACACATTAATTATAAACACATTGTCGTGCATTGATTATATAAGCGTAAGGAGCTAAAGAAATGGCACAATTTACTCACATCGCAATCGAAGCAAATAATAATATCTGGATGGGGATCCGTCATTGTGCTTCCTACCACCTTACCCAGAATTGTTTATGCAATAAAAGTCCACGATAATTGTTTACACAGAGCCAGGCAAGTGCATGACTCAAAAAGCTCCGACAAAAGGTCGGCGGAATGGATAACATCCATGGAACCCCCAATCCCCGCCAGAAGGTGGGGCCACAAATGATTTGACATTTATTTGAATTTCGCTTTCAGTTTTATAGTTTTTCAGATAAAGCCAAGCAGGCTAGTAGTTTCCCCACCATCTTTACTTTATCAGGAATTCTCGATTAGATTCCCCATCGTCATGAACTATTTGTGGACGGACAGAGCAGACGCGATTAAGGTTCAAGTGGTTTCGGAACCAAAACATGAAAAATAAAAGTACCACGCACGAGTTCTTTTGATTGATAAAGGATTTATGTGTGTGTTACACATGTTTCTTCAGTTATTATTTATGGATCTAAAGGGAATGCCCTATATTAACGATAAAACCAGTTTCTTTTGTAGTTTAAATATTAATTCATTCATTGTACTTATTAAAACATCTTCATATAATAAAGTTTTGTAGTTTCTACACTTTCATTAAAGTTAAAACACAAAAAGGTCTACGTCTAAGTCCCCAACTTTGCTTAAAATCCTTTTAAGGCTGCCTTAAAAGCCGCATTTAATGTGAAAACTTTCGCGGCAATGCTTTTGAGAGGAACCTTCAAAGAGCTCCGCCACAGGAAACTCTTATGTTTCATAATCCTTTAGCTTATAGGTAAAGAAGGTCGCTCTGCTCCGCACACCTCTTTAAAAGCCGAGCCACGCGCTGAAATCAATATGTTTACCGATGACGGTGGCGAAAAAAAGCACGAAAACAAAGTCATGGGTACAATAGCATGTTGGATTTATGGGTCTTTGTTGCCACTCAAATCGACGCTCTCCGGAAAACAACAACAGACCGAAGCGAGTAACCAGCATCGCAGGGTGATGCTAAAATTGGACCACGCGGCGTATGCGCGATGCCAGCCATAAAACGATGTGCGTTTTTCGGGCATTTTAACAGACCCGTGTGAACTCCGATTATACCCCGGTGTACTTTAAGCAAGCTACCAATATTAAGTAGGAATTTTCACCGCCTGATAAGTCGGATTTACCTGGTAACCAGGGGCTAAAATATATATCGCCGAAATCAACACATCAAGACTGACGCAGACTGCCTAGCGCCGGCTGAAACCGGTGGATAACTGGTTAATTGCAGGTCTACCACTCAAGTTAATACCGCTCTCCGATTCCCATTTTGGAGGTAAACAGTTTTAGCCTAATTGTATCGGCATTTCAAGTCTCTCGCCATTACTCGATGTTGACATTTCATCAATTTGAGTGCCTTCCGAATTTCAGCAGCTCGAATAATCGTAAACAAAGCGAATGTAATTGTTTACCAAATTCCAAGAAGTAGTCTATTAACTTGATGGCTTTTATATAAGTACTTGAAATAACTTTTAAGGAAGTTCAAGAAATATTTGAATGTGAAATAATATAAGGAGCAGCACTTGACACTCAAGAGTATATGGAATAACTTTAACTTTGTTGTTTAAATAAATACTTTTTAGAAGATTAAAGATTTAAAAGCAAAGAGAGTAAAAGAAATGCCTTACAGAGACTCTTAACGTTGTAATTATCTAGACAATCGAAATAGTTGTAATATTATGTCAAGGTATTTACCTTGAATGGAAATTTTACTTTATTTATTCATAGAGGTGGGTCTTACTCGTACTTTTCCCATCATAACTAGCAAATTATGCAGTGCCGCAAACGAATAATAATAATAATAATAGCCCTTAGTTAGTTCAGATCATGTCCAGCTGCTAATTGGTATTTAGTATTGTTTTAATGAGTTGCCACTAGTGAGTCATCATGGTTTTCAATCAGTGCCTTCTGAAAGCCCATCAATCGAAGACAAGGCGGAAAAATCCGATTAAAAATATGGAATGGAATTTCGAGTTCCCATATTTTTTTCTTCAACAATGATACTCGTACTGCACCCAGGTGACAGCACGTTCAGTGTTTGTTTTCAATGGATATGCTGAAGCTCACCTAATTGAACGACAATTAATCACACCCAGCGATTAGATAAGGAGAAAAAGAATACTGATAACGAGTTTAATTTATGTACTGCCGCTGGAATTTCAAGAAGCCATCTCAAGTGGTCGCCCAGACCTAAACGATGATGGGTACTCCATTCTATTTTTTGTGTGTTTCTATTTTGGGAAATCGTAATTTTCCAATGCGAATCGCATCAATCACTGCTAGTTGGCTAGCTAGCTGTATCGACTAAACAAAGTGACTATCTTGACGGCAAGAAAGCTCACTATTTTTTCGTTATTGAAATCAGTTAATGTCAGTCACGTGCTTCTTGCATTTCCTACGATTGCGCAATCCCCAAAAAAAACAACATTTTATGAGTAGAATGAGACAACTGACTACCTAACAATTTATGGGGGAAATCTCAGTGGAATATTACCAAGCCCCAAAAGCAAAATGCAAATGAGAAACACACAAAATTTTAATGAAGCGCGACTGGAACAACAAACAAATATGTGAGTAAAAAGCTAAAAACTAAATACAAGTAAAGGAGACACACAAATAAAAGTAGTACATTTTGATTAGAGAGAAAATGCGTGAAAAGTGTTCCAGAAATAAACTTTGATAATGGTGGGAAAATAATATAAACTGAGATGGGAATAAAGTACTAAGAACATAATAATTTAATCAAGTTAGAAGTTGGCAATAATAGTAATAAAATAAATAATTAATTAAATAAGCCACTTAAACTCTGCTCTAACAAGATTCATAAACTTCTGTAGAGAATATTTCAACCAAAATAGTTTATCCAAACTAAAACCCCTTGACTTTTCTCCTACTTACAAATATAAGGAAATGCAGCTTAGACTTTTCTGGGGTCAAAGTACAATTTCACTCATTTTTCGCCTGTGCAGTTAGTGACGTAATTACTTTATTGGTGGTCACTTGATCGGCTTCTGTTGTTGTTTTTCTCCCGTTTGTGTCCAATTAATTGACAAATTCCCAATTCCGTTTCCCAGCTGCTCCTCCCCACACATTTATTTATATATGTGTATTTTTTTCGCCCGCTTTCGTTAGAATCAATCAATTTCAATTGATCATCTCGAGTTCAGTTAAAAAGCACCCAGCCAGCAATCAGAAATTTCTTTTTCCAGTTTCGTGAACTTTGGCAACCCGTTTATAAATATAATAAAAAACGCGACTGAGGAAAGGAGGATATTTTGCCATAATTTACGAGCCTTGTTCGACGTGAGAAACAGGTTTTTTGGTTAATTAATTTATTCTCTCTGGTTTCGTTTAAATTTAAAACACTTGCTTTTGGCTAGAGCTTTTGTATTCTTTTGTATTTTGTATAAATATGTACCACATCACGGCCTGGTTCCAGCCAGACACT